CGGAATGGGAGAAGAGGAGGGCAGAGGACGAGATGCGAGCGAGCGAGAGAAGAGGGAAAGGAGGCAGTTCGGTCAGACTGGTGCCACAGGAGAATGAGAGCGACGGCGAAGGAGACAACCCGTCGATGACGGAGAGGAGCCACGAGAGGAGCACAACGAGGAGTCCACTGCCTGGGGCTATTACGGGGTCTGGCGTTGGCCCTTCTGTCGGCCAGAGTGATGCAGGCTTGGGCATCAGCGTGGGCTACGTGGATGCTTGGAAATGAACCTATTCGGTATGCGGCAGGTACCCTCAACAAACAAGAGTGTTGAATGAGGAACTGGTGGGCGTGCGGATTCGTAGTGGGGACTACGTAGCTGAAGCCTGACGCTGTGCTTGTGATTTCTGGGGATCTCCACCTCAATGATGAGGATGATCGATAACGAGGACCCGCTCGGGGTGAGGCGGCGAGGCGGTTCAGAGTCAACCCGTCAACCCTCAACTCGACCTGCGTTATTTGCTCCGCCAACACCACCACCGTATCTACAGTACCAGCCTTTCCTTTCCCTTACCTCCGCCGCTCGCTCTCCGTCATTCTCTTCTGCCTGTTTCCTATCGTCTCACTCGAGTCCACATTGGATTTCCTCTGCGCTCTCTCCTAGTGTTCCTTTGGCCTGTGAACCACGCGTTCTAGACTCCCTTCGACTGGAGCTGTGTCTCTGTATCTCACTGCTTCTCTTTCCCCGGAGGCACCTGGCTGCATTCGTACAGAGTCACTGAACTGCTCAGCTGGAGCCGGGTGAAATCTATGGCTAGTCCTGCGCACTGCCTCTACTGTTTCGAAGTTTTGTCCGCCAGCTTTGAACGGCGAGATCCCCCAACTCTACACAAAGTGCTTGAACTGTATGAGAATTACCAATCAGCCAGTCAACCTGATGGAATAGCTACGGGAGAGGAAGAGGCAGAAAATGATAAAGATCGTGTCAAGGTGACGGAGTCCGAAGACGAGCATGAAGCTGGCGACGAAGAAGAGGAAGAGGAAGAGCAAGAGGACGACGACGAAGCTGGGGAAGAAGAGATCCAACGCTTTGATCGCCGGCACAGCAACAGCAAGGCCGGCCCTCAACTCCCCAGCATCTCTCGATTGCAAGCTTCAAGTTCCTCTTCGCGGTCGTCGTCAGCGTCTTCCCCTTCCCTCTTCTCCGCTAGCTCCTCCAATTCTCAACTTACAACCCCCTCGAGCACGACTTCCTCCAGCTCTCATGCTCGCCCTACGTACGCATCACAACTCTCCGCTACCGAATCATTCCCGCTCTTCGTCACCTGGAACACCGTAGCCCGCTCCGGCCACAAAGCTCTAAGAGGATGCATAGGGACATTTGAGGCCCTCCCACTTGCGTCGGGACTCACCACCTACGCGTTGACATCTGCCTTTGATGACACAAGATTCTCGCCCATCCCGGCTGCACTGTTGCCCGCACTTTCCTGCTCTCTGACGTTACTTGCAGACTTCGAGCCCTGCCGGGACGCAATGGATTGGACACTGGGCCGCCACGGCTTACGGATTAGTTTTAACTACCGGAGTCGTCGACATGGTGCGACGTATCTCCCGGACGTGGCAGTTGAGCAGGGCTGGACTAAAGAGGAGACGGTGGAAAGTTTGATGAAGAAGGCAGGATGGGATGGAGGTGTTTCAGGCCATGGGGTTGCTAGGAGGCTCTTGCGGGGTTCAATTAGAGGGTCTGCAAGCGACCAGCAACCGTCCCAACCATCAAAGCCGTGGGAAGAAGTCCAGGATTTCAGGGCAATTAGGTATACGGGGCTGAAGTCGAGTGCGACGTATTCCGAGTGGCAGGACTGGCGCGAGTGGGCTGAGAAGAACGGTGTGAAGTGAGAAAATGTGACTTTAGCAAACCTCGTGATCGAGCCCTTAGTGGTGGGGTTGAGCTTGAGAGCCCCCGTGTTCATTTGAGATGTCATGATGGCTCTTCACAGCCAGAAAGGTCGGGTACGCGCTGAGGAAGGACCTAGGCCTTTACTGAGGCTGCTGCTCCAGCCTCGTCGAGCCGAGATGGGCGTCCGTCGCGGTACGTGTTACCAACTCTCCTTGAGCGAACACGGGTATTCCCTGAGGCGAGCGACGAGAGGAGTGAGAGCTTGTCGCCGCTTCGATATATTGCAACATGGGTCGAGCGCCACGGGCATTGGACAGACTGCCCGGATCACTTCGCTAAATGAGCAAGGCAAAGTGGGCTGAATTCAGATCACCCATTCCATCGAATCCTCGTTCGACCCCCGGAAATCAATGCTTCCGCTCTTTGTCTGTAGGAAGTGTATTCACTAGAACACGGCTCACCCGTCTAGGAGGAAATCGGAGTATGCCAAGGGAGATCTCCATCGAGTAAGATGGGCCGGGTCGCCTTCGTGCGCAGTGGACGTATTCGGATCTAGTGAAGCTGAAGAGGCCTCTGTGCTTTGCAACGAGGAGTCCCGGGCGAGGCCGTTGAGTTGAACTCCTGGCATCTTTGGGGCCGTGCCATCTGCTGGTCGGCTGCTTACCTAATGCTCGACCCTTGAAATCCCAAAAGTCCAAAAAAAAGTCAATCGCGCTGCGACCCGAAGTCCTCCATGATACTCGTATCTTTTCTTTCTCGACGTGAGAGCTTCCCATTCCACCCGTCGCTCTTTTCTTGTAATATTTTCTCCGGCTGTTCTGATTTCTGCCGCTTCATGGACATCTATTGCTAGCCCTTATTAATGCCAGTCGCCGTCATGGGAGGACGTGGGCGAATTTCGCGGAAGTCGTCAGTCATTTTGCAGCCAGCGGTCACAGCCCCAAACATAGCTTCTCCACGGTTGAATCTAAATCCATCAGTTTGCCCGATGTGTTGGACGAGATCACAGTATCCAAAATCAGCTTCGCGAGCTGCCCTGTCTCACTCAAGGCGTCCCTTCTCGAGCTCCTCCCCTCGACCATCATGGGCTGCCACTGTTCAAAAGATTCAAAGCACCGTCGCTGAGGTCCTCCCCTCCTCCGCCCGACAATCCTCTGGTAACATCACCATCGATCCTCTCAAGATTGTCGCGAAAGAGTTAAAATTCCTAAACAAGAACATCAGGCAGCTGCTTGGCTCAGGACACCCGATCCTGGACACAGTTGCAAAGTACTATACACAGAGCGAAGGCAAACATGTTAGGCCATTGCTCGTGCTGTTGATGTCGAGGGCGACTGCTTTTGCTGCAAAGCAGCCACGGCCAAGATACGATGTGCAGCATACTTTGTCCAGAAGCGCTATTGACACGCCCATCACGAACCCGTCGGTACTTCTTGACCAGAACCCAGACCAAGACCGACCTTCCTATTCCTCTTCCGTGTCGCCGTTGACAGCTGCCTCGACTGAGACAGAATACGCCTTTCCCAATGACGCCACCATTCTCCCTTCGCAGCGACGGCTGGCGGAGATCACGGAACTCATTCATACCGCTTCGCTTCTCCATGACGATGTGATAGACCACTCGACCACACGCCGCTCCGCCCCCTCCGCCAACACCACATTCGGAAACAAAATGGCTGTGCTGGCAGGAGATTTCATGCTCGGTCGCGCCTCCGTTGCGCTCGCTCGATTACGAGATCCTGAGGTCACAGAGCTGCTTGCGACAGTGATCGCGAATCTTGTGGAGGGCGAGTTCATGCAATTGAAGAACACGGCGAGTGATGAAAAGAATCCCAGCTGGAGCGAGCAGACGATTTCGTACTATTTACAAAAGACATACCTGAAATCCGCAAGTCTGATCAGTAAAAGTTGTCGTGCGGCCGCATTACTCGGACAGTGCGCCCCGAATGTGGTCGAAGCAGCATATCAGTATGGGAAAAATCTGGGATTGGCGTTTCAGCTTGTGGATGATATGTTGGACTATACAATATCTGGATCCGAATTGGGGAAGCCCGCAGGTGCGGACTTGGAGCTAGGGTTGGCGACGGCGCCGCTATTATTCGCGTGGAGACGCAGGCCAGAGTTGGGGTTGTTGGTGGGTAGGAAGTTTTCAAAGGAAGGTGATGTTCAGAAGGTGAATCCGATCCGATATCTTTACGTCGATGTAATCAGCAGCTGACAACTATCCACAGGCAAGGGACATTGTCTCGCAGAGCGACGGACTCGAGCAGACACGGGCCCTGGCACAGGAATATGCTGACAAGGCCGTCTCCTCAATCAGTGCGTTTCCGCCCGGCGAGGCCAAGGATGGCCTAGAAGAGATGTGTGTAAAGGTCATGAAGCGTCGAAAATGAGCACCGGATGTGTCTCAGCTAGCCCCACTTCCACTGTACCATACATCAGATTCAGATGATCACACAATGTACGAGTTTTACCCAACATGATGGTTGCGTTCGGAATGTTTCTGGGTTATTACTGGGCGATTTCTGCGGTCATCGCGCATTCTGTCTACCAAAAGAAGTGAGTGACATTCCAGAAGGCTGTTGCCTTCGAGAGTTTCTGCCCTACGGGAAAAATAAACAGTGACACCAGGAATCTTGCCCATGTCGTGAGGAGGCGTTCGTCCTTTGATTCCTTTGATTCGTTCGGGCGCCTTTGAGCTGCTGCAGTCAGATGCGCCTTTGCCCAGCATAACCGCACCTGTGCGTACAAACTACATTTCTGTACACCTCAAATTTATCTCCTGTGCCTGTTGAGTTCTCCTCTGTGCTTCTCTACATCTTCATCTGATCTTGCCACTCGAAAGCAGTCAAATTCGCGCAGTGGATCCTGCTTCAGCGTCGGTTGCATTCATCGGCTTCGCTGCCAGCCTTGCAACGCTTGCTGGGCTTGTATTTGAATCCATTCAAACCCTCACGGAGCTTTGCGGCAGGCTGGATGTGCCCCCCGAAAAGCTCAAGCGTTTTCTATCCGTCCTTCGGCAGCACGAGTCACTTCTCCTTAACCCTAAGGATCGCCTCAGCGCGTTCACGACGGAGGAGTTTCCAAATGAGCTAGGGCAATTTTGGCAGGAAAACAATGTACAGATGACGGCTGACTATGTACGGCTGAAAGAGCATGTGAAAAAGATACAAGCCTCGTTCCAGGGCACACCAATTACAAAAATACACACACGAGCTCGAGTCCACAGCTACTTCCTTTCTCCAGAGATCCTGGAATTGGAGACGCGTCTGCAGGGAAACATCGGCAAGATCGACATTGTGCTTTGTATGATCGCTGAGTATGTCTTGGATAATGGCCTATTGAGGCTCTCCACTAATACAGATGCTTCAACAGGATCGGCTTCGGAATCAAGGACATATGCTTTGATCACACTTCACAAAGTGTTGACTCCAACTCTGCGACTCATCAGCAGGAACTCCGAGCTGTTCGTTCATCCACGTCTAGGACCGAAACCGATCTCTTGCGACAAGCTGTATAGCGTGGAATACAACACCGGCTACGATATATCTCGACTCGATTGGAGATGGTCCCTCATGGCTGTAACTATTCATTTCGAGAATGCAATTTGCAAAATGCTAGCTTCAACCGGGCTAACATCAGGCTCACAGGCCTTTGGTCCCGGCTTCCGAGATCCGTTAGACATCTAGTAGCCGCGACGGAAGGCATAACCATCATGCGTCACTACTGGTTTGGCTCTTTAGGAGTCAAGGTGGCCCGCGTTACGAGCCAGCAATACCCATCCAGATCAGAACCCTTCGAGGACCTCGCATACATCGAATTCTTTTATATTCCTCCGTGGTGGCTATCGGATATGTGGGTTTTATCTCTTCAACGCCTTTGGCATCTTTGCAAATGCGGAGAATGCATGTCAACTTGAACCCGAGACTTTTCGATTGCTTATTGTCTTGCGACGTCCATAGTCTACGAGACATGTTTGCCCGCGCGCTGGTACATCCCCTCGACATGGTATTGCTCCCTTCGGAAGTCTACGGGGGAAAGCCAGCGTCGTTGCTAGAGGTAAATGTGATGCTGTGAGGTCGGGAATCATGATCTTGACTCTAAACAGACCTTTAAACTCTTGGGCAACCAGGAAATCAGGGGAGAATACCACACACAAGACCTCGTGGTCTAAAATATACCGCTCCTTATTTGGTCAGAGAGGATCTTACGAGGCGCTTGACGTCGGCCTCGAACACTACGTGAAACTCGGGGCTCCCCTTAGCATTGTTACCACAATCAAGAACACTTGCACCTCCTAATGGAGAATCAAGCCTATAAAAATAGAGAGGTCATCGATATGATCATCGAGCGAGGGGTCGATCTTGCACCTGTCTTGAACTGGCGGCCCTTCCATGGACTTACGATGCTCCTACTCCTCTACGCTGCTAACCCAAGAGCCCTTTGTCCATGACTTTGTGCGTCGACACCTGGGTCTCTTTGAGTACTATAATATGACCTCCAAGTGACCTCCTAGTTTCTTCGAATTATTGCTCATTCGGATCCAGGGTTCTGTTCTGAACTAATGCGCGAATCATCGAGAAATGTGCATTGCAGCTTTTGACAATGGGGCTAAGAAAGCTGAGCCAGACTTCAGTCTCCAGACACAATTGAAACGAGATGGAGCTGTCCAACTTGGAGGAACGGGATCTCTTTCTATCAGCTCTGTGTGCGGGAGGAACTGCTGCGGACGTCGACGTCCTTCTCTCACACCAAAGAGAGCCTCCCGAACTGGACTCCAGTCATGATAATGGCCTATCCATCCTCGGGTACCTCAAAATTTCAGCCGCCTTTGGAAACTGCGCCGCCTTGAGATGCCTGGTCGAGGCGGGTGCCGACACCATCAGCAGTCGGGATCGCCTACAGGATCCTTCCTCTGGACTGATTTTAAGCTTGCTGGCCTTTTCAACAATGCTGGTGTCTCTGTCGAGATGGTACGATCAGTAATGATGCAAATCCTTTTGTCAGATTCATCGTCGTCGCTTTCCTGGTGTATCCCCTTCATGATAACCAACCCCCCCCCCCCCGGGGCCCCAAAAACCAACAAGTCCGCGTCAAGCGATGAATTTGGACGCAGCACTAATAGAGCAATCAGATCTCGTCTTCATTGGCCGTGTTTCGGTGATTGATCTGAGGATTAACCCAAAACACAGCCCTGCCGCACTAGAAGCTCTCCTAAGCGCAGCTGGTTCTTTACGGAAACCAGCAAATTTGCGAAACGCTGCTAACGGAGGTTACCGAGTTGGAGTGGGAAAACTTAAATGGCTTACTCCTCTATTGATGGCCATCGTTCTACGATCGTTCGAATCCGCAAAGAAGATTCTGAGACATAGCGCTAATGCAGAGGGCATCAAGTTCTGCGGATTCCCGGCCAGACAGGTGATCAGAAAGCTGAGAGATCTGTGCGGCGAAGATGGGAAACTTGGTAGGATTAGTCGAGGGTACAGAGACATTCGGCAAAGAAACAAGAAGTGTCGGCAGTGCCTACGTGAAGAACTTGGTCCGCATGTGGCCTTCTTCGATGAGAAGGCCTTCCCGCCCTTCGCAGATCGGAAAGGCACATGAAAGGAATTTAATGACGCAATTGAAATGATGGGATGCGACGAGCATGACCAAGAACAGATGGACGTGAATGGAGCACCAAAGATCTTGGGTAAGCTTTTCTGCTCTCTAAGCATGTTCTCCTACTAAAGAGTTCAGCAGTTTCGGAACCGACATAATACTAGGAACTATCTGTAATATATCTCCTCGTCATCGTTGGATACGCTGTTGACATTCTGTCTCACTTTGGCTATGACACCTGGGATTTTCTCATCTGGATCTCACGACTGCCACCCCCGACTCTGAGACTCGTGGGCTTGGTGCTGCTTGCCTTGCCTTGCAGTTGGCTATGGAAGGTGGCCGTGGGGTGCTGGTATTCGTCTACACTCCGTGGGATGTGCTTTACTGCTGCTGTTGCTGTGATGATATTCATCTGGACAAAATCTCGCCCCTGGATTCTGTTCACTCTGCTCAGCTTGTGCTCGACGCCGACCCAAGTCAGGCGCCTTTTCAGCCTTGCCGATCCTTAGCCTCGTGTTTACTCCAGCTTCTCAGAGAAATAGCTGAATATGGCATGATCTCCTCAGCCCATGTATTTCTTTTCTCGTGCACAGGCTACGGGCCTCAGTTGAAAGTCTATCATGACCGCCCCCCATGGTAAATCGATGCAGCGGCGAGCCCATGAGACGGGATGGTGTTCTTAAGGCCACCAGCCGCGGTGTGTCTGGCCGAATCATTATCGATATTTTGTGGCGCCAGTGCTCCAGTCACTGTTCTAGATGGCGACTTAGCCTGGAATCCAAGCCTTGTGGATGCATGTATATCTCGCATTCAATTGGTAACCGACAGGGCTGCCAGTCCGCGCTCGTTCAGTGGCACTGTTTGCAGCTAAGACTGGTGAGCCCCCAGATCTGCTGCTCTCCCCGCCGATCGCCGCAAGCACAGGGACTTGAAAAGCCGAAAACCTTCAGGAGAGGAGGCCCTGAAACGAAGTTGTTTCTTTTCTAACATGACTTGTGCTGCTTGAGACATTCAATCTGTGACAGTGTGGCCGATGTATGGAGCATACATCTGCACCTCGACAGGCCAGTCTGGATGCTTCTATATTCGAGCGAACAGACTCGTTTTGCAGCTGAAATGCTCGGATCCAACCGCTATATATCGAGACGAGACTGAAGCGAACTCCCACTGCAATGATGGCAGCACCAGCGAACCTGCCGGCTCTCATGTCTATTATCGATGTTCGAGGCAAAGCCTCGGAGTCTGGACCGCGTGCTTATCCCCGGCACAGGAAAAGAAAATGGCACGCGAAAGTCCCGACTGGCTGTCTTCGATGCAAACAAAGACGGGTGAAATGCAGCGAGGAGAAGCCATATTGCGCTCGATGCAGCAAACTCGGTCTGCCATGTCCAGGCTACAAGATCCCCGTGCCGCGCATCTTCGAATTCCGACCACGGTCAGCTCCGCTATTCGAGTCTGAGCTGGACAAGACGAGATACGAATACTTCGTCGAGGTCGGGAGCAAGATCCTGGCGACGTTCCAGCTGAACTCGATGCCCTTCTGGACACGGCTAGCACCACGGCTAGGTCTCGACCACGCTGCTGTTCGACACGGTCTGATTGCGTTGGGCGCTCTACAGGCCCCATTGCATAACATCACAGTGGCCGGACTGCAGGTACAGGCGCGTCCGGAGATCTGTGAGCTCGCTATGTCGCATACACACAAAGCAATGCACATGATTCGGACCGCCGACCCCATGACGCTGCCGGTTGAAGTGTCGCTGACCTGTTGCTTGTTGTTCCTTGCCATGCAGTTCTGGATCGAGAAGACTTCGTCGGCTGCCATGCACATCATGGCGGCATATCGCATTCTGCAAGAGAAGTTTGGCAACGACGCATCACTGTGGGCCAAAAACCCCGATGTCCCCGGTGATATTGCTACGACCTTCATCCCAGCGCTCAACGAGCTCATCAACCATGCCTGTACGTTTTCCGACGACTTTCCCCCAGCTGGATCTGGTATCCCGGCAGACTACCATCTTGGCTACGATGTGGGCCAGATAAGCAGCATCTCAGATGCGAACGGTGCCCTCGACGCCATCGACCGGTTACTCAAGTGTGTTTTGCGGGCGACCTCGAGGCCCGGGATATCACAGTCCCTCGAAAAGACGATTGCTGAGGCATTCAGGTGCCTGGACTGCAAATTGCAGGAGCTACATGATATAGATGCCCTTCCACGACACGGACGCGACTATATCCACCTTTGTCTGCACCTCCGAGTGGCCAAGGTTATGTTCTTCACGATTGGCCGCCCTGATGAGGCCGAGTTTGACGCATTTCATCCGCACTTCAGTTTTATCGTCGGATGTTGTAGAAGGGTTATAGATCTGGATACCGTTGTTCGCCCAGAGAAGCAGAGCGTGTTGAGTCCCAGCCTTGGAATCCTACCACCCTTGTTCTTCGTTGCTACCCGCTGTCGAGAACCGAGGTTGCGTCACGAGGCGCTCGACCTCTTGCACGAAGCAGGTGTGAGTGAACGGGGATGGACAAGCTGTATAGCCTTTGCAATTGCTCGGTTCGTGGTTAATGAAGAAGAGGTCAGACTCAACTCCCTTCCCGTGGAAGATAGGACGGCGGATCGCATCCATCGCCGGATCAGGTTGCGCGATGTTCAAGTCTGCGGTCCAGCGCGCACGGCGAACATCACATATTTGGTCTTCCAACAGAGCTCCTCCGAGGACACTGGACCACTTGTTACTGCTATTTCTACTTCAGAACGCGGCTCGAAAGACATTGTTCGATGCAAGGCAAGAATACCTTACCCGTCACACCCGTCGGTCGAGATCGATGGTGTGACTTGTCAGATGCCGCGGAAAGTGCTTCGGGCGTCTGGCTACACGAGCATCACCTTGTTCAGGCAGCCGTTGAAATGCCATTGCTAGTGGGAACAACGCTTGGACGTGGGCCTAAATGGTTGTTGTTGGGTTAGTTGTGTATGATGCTGCGGGACATCAAGCGGCAGTATGGACTCCGTACGGCCCAGATTTGAGGATGGGGAGGAGTAGTGGCCTGTGTTCACAAAAGCCTGTACCTCCTATGTAATGTCATTTCTACGCATGGCAGACACATCTACGAGGTAGGAAGTAAAAAGCAGGGAATAGAACACGGAAAGTTTGCCGATCTTTCGGACGGAATATTATATTTCCGACTTATCCACCCGCCGAGCCGCGAACTCCCTTCTTCCGACGCTCATGTCGTACCTGTGATCAACGTAGACCGCTCTATCAATCTGCCACATCTGACGCTGAAGCCTACTGCTGAGCATCTTCTCAAATCAGATCATGATCGAGCCTCTCGAACCGCACGAAGCACGACAAGATCGAGGCATATAACGTCTTTCGCGAAACAATCCGTGGTCTCACTTTTTCTGTCCTTGCAACCGTCGCACCGACGAGCCACGCGGAAATGGCGTCGGGTCCTCATACCTTCGTGACCATGGTGGTATGTCTCATTTGCACGCTCCGTTGTATATGCTAGCGTCGTTGATCAGCTTTTGTTTGACCCTTGTGCTGCAAGCAAGATACGGAATACGCGGAACGGGACTTGGGATGTGTTCCCTAATTTGGAGAGTTTATGGATATCGTTTTCTGACCTTCAGATTGGAGCCCGATCGCAAATGTCTCTACTTCAATATCATGCCATACGTTTTTGCTGCCTGCGCGATACTTCCCTCATTGCCAAACTCTCAGCAACCGTTTCTCTCCAACGGCAGGATCTCCGATATTGATGGGAACCGTCCAATTCTAGGTCTTTTCGCCCGAGAAATTCCAGGGCAATCCCTTGGCCCTGGTTTCCGTGCACGGGAATGCGCTCTCCCAGAAACGCAAGGCCCAAATCGCAAGGGAGTTCAGGTACTCCGAAACCGTGTTTTTGCATGATGCTCCAGGCCCTGGTCAGCCCCGGTTGCTAGAGATATTTTCGGAGACTGGGGAAGAGTTACCTTTTGCAGGTCATCCTGTAAGTCCAACAGCGCGAGACCCAGTGACTGATGAATACGAGATGGCGCTGACTACCTTACCAGGTCATCGGGGCGGCGTATTATGTTTGTTCACCGTGATCGTTCACAAGTGAAAAGAGCTGACCGTCCCAGATATTCAGCTATCTTGAGAGAATGCACTACGGCGGCCCTGCTGACCGAGACACACAAAAGCAAAGTGCTGTTCTCCTGACAAAGGCCGGCCGAATACCGATCTTCTTCAACCCCTACCGTCAGGTGGCCGCTTGTGTAGTCCCCTTTAACTGCCACATTCACTCCCATCGAGTTCCGATTGAGAAGATCATCACCACACAACCCCATATTCAAATAATCCCGACCATCGACAAGGAAAAAGACAAAATGTTCCCCCTGGTCTCAATCGTCAAGGGTATGACCTTTGTTCTCGTTGACCTCACTGACAATGCCGAGATCTTCGGCGCCTTGCAAGCGGCCAAATCCCCGGAAGTCGACCTGGACGCTGAGTGGTCACCTAGCTTCGTGGGCTGCATGTACTACAAAGTCTTAGCGAAGTCGGAACAACCAGGGGAACCGACTATTCATAATATCCAAGCAAGGATGATTTCGCATGGCATCGAGGACTCGGGATCAGGGAGTGCGTGTTGTGCTTTGGCTTGTTATTTGGCGTTGAATAGCGCCAACCATTCGTTGGAGGCCCAGAAGCTGGCAGAGGAACGCACAGACCAAGGAAGCGCAGATTCGGAACTCACAAAGCAGACACAAGATTTGAAGTTGGGAGAGACAAAAACAGAGAGGAAAGTATTTGGCATCCAACAGGGAGCAGAGATGGGGAGACTATGCACCATCGCGGTCGAAGTGGACGTGAAGACGGATGCACAGGGGAAGGCAAGCATCACGAACGTGGTCTTGTCGGGGAGAGCCAACTTACATCTCAGAGGGGAAATTCTGGGTTTCTAATCACGACTGAGCACAAGCCCAATCATGGTCCCTGCGAATGGGGCCAAATGACCGATGTGAAATCTAGATTCTTTTAGTCCCAGGCAGAATTCGGATAGCTTCAACACCGAAGGTGAGCAAGCATTCCTCGAGCGGGTGTACTAGATCCGTATACGGAGAAAGATGGATCCGCCCATGTTCCGACGTTGATTGACAAGGTTTTGGCCGGTTCAAGCTATCGTGCAACGTGTGACTGAGCACTCGTAGCCCGTACTTTCTTTCAGCTGGACAAGATTAAGCGAGCCGTCTGGTCCTCGACGCAATCGCGAGAACAAATTAGTGGGCGCTTCGATTTCGTTATTCGTGCTTGCACGATGCAAAGGACTTGGCTAGCCCCTCCGGATCGAAGCCTTTCCCTTGGGGGTGCGTTCCGTACTCGAACGCTGGCTGCAAACTCGAACCGCGAAGCGCTTCATATTGAGTCCGGAGACTTTGCGATTCGGTAATCGGCACAACCAAAGCTTGACCAAAGCTTGAGTGTGGTCCAAGAAACGTGACTACCGGGGGGGGTTTTCCATAGATCGTGGAGGAGGTACTCCGTAGAAGCGAAGAGACGGGACGGAGTGTAAGGGGCCAGCGTTGGTACTTGTTAGGTATTATTTTTAGGTGAAGGATGTGGCATATCCGAGCCCCATCGTGGTGTAGGCGTTTGCGAATGTCAGAATCGGGAAGGACGGAAGGTCTTTTGCGGAGGGGCTGGACGCAGAGGTGGAGTCGCCCATGACAGATCTCTCGAGGAAAAGGAGGACATTGCAGGAGGAGGATTCTGTCCGTGCTACGCGATAGTATGGAGGTTGGGAAGGGACTTGGAGGGATTTATGGAGGGAATGTGACGTCGACAGGAGAAGACAGGAGTTGCGAAGTTGAGGGTGGAGCATGTCCAGTGATTCACCAAGTCGCGCTAAAGGCGGACTAGAGCACTTTAACTATTAATCTTGTCCTAATACAGCTAGTTCCCACCCCTGGGTAAAGCTTACCACGACCTCAGAGGACCAATTGGCGGAATAGCCGAGCCATTCGGCCAGCCGCCCGTTTCAGACTCGCCTGTTCTCCCTGGATTCTCCGACACTTCTCGAAACCATCTCAGCTTCATCTTGGTCCCTCTCCATCCTCGCTCCTTGCCCATTCTGTCTCGATTCTGGGTGAGCTAACTGTCTGCTCAAAACATTGGCAATGCTTGATTGCCCTCGCAACCGCACTGCGGCGCCAGGCTGCGACCAACCTGTAACCTTCGAGGCTTGGACTATGCCTTCCCCAACCTGACGCACGGGGACGCCTGGTGAGCCTCTTCTGTGTCATCCTCCATCTTGGAAACATTTGCGGCCTCAGACGAAATCACCATGGACCACACATCCAGTACCCCCCCCGCGACGTTACGGTCCGAAGAGACCTGAGACCAGTGCCAAGCAGAATGCATAAGAGGTCAGTTTTTCCTTCGCATCAAAGCATGTTCTTCTCTCCATCGTGGCAGTGCCTCTACATTCCTTTCGCATCAATTGTATTGAAAACATTCGAGCAATTTTTTTCACACACTCCTTTTTTCCTGGTTCAGACCGCGTTGACCGCGAAGTCTCTCGTTCGATTGCTATCCCGAAAAGATCATCTTGATCCCGCACTCCCAAATCCAATTCCAAAGAAACATTTTTTGATATAAAAACTCCATACCGACACGATGAAGACATCTCAGCTTTTGACCTTGGCAGTCGCCACCTTGGGCCTTACAACAGGCGCCGTTGCTCAGCGGAATAACAATCGAAACGGTGGAAACAATGGCGGGAACACTGGAGCCTCAACAACGAATGCTGCAGCAGCAGCAGCTTCTACCACTGCCGCTGCCGCCGGAGGCAACAATGGCAATACGGGAAACAACAACGCAGCTGGTGGGAATGGGGGTAACAACGACCTTCTCTTGCTTGCATCCAACGTCCAAGCTGCGAGCAACTTCGCTGGTAACCCTGATGTGGCCGCTGGTCAATCGAACTCCGATACGTATGTTGTAGGCCTCTTGACTTGTGTACAGTGATCCACTTACTGACAACTCTCCCAGTGACCCAGCCAACTTCATCAACTTCTGTACAGGCAAGACCTTGACCAACGGAACTCAGAACACTGCCGGATCCTGCAACGGTGTGATCATGGGTGACATTCCTTCCAACAATAACATGGTCTCTGCCATCGTTCTCTTCCCCGGCCCTGGAGACGATTTGACCCCTAACCAGTCCTTCAACATTCAAGTCCAGCTCACCAACTTGGTCGCCGGTTCCTTTACTGACCCACTCACCACATACTACTCTGCTCCTCAAGAGCTGCAAGGCGGCAACATTGTTGGCCACTGCCACGTCACTGTTCAGGATCTCGGAAATTCCCTGGCCCCTACCACACCCCCAGACCCAAAGACCTTTGCCTTCTTCAAGGGTATCAATGACGATGGCAATGGCCAAGGTCTTCTCCAGGCTACTGTCGCCAATGGCCTCCCTGCCGGCTTCTACCGTGTCTGCACAATGAACAGCGCTTCTAATCACCAGCCTGTGCTCATGCCCGTAAGTTCTACCGAATTTGCACTTCCCCATCAGGAAAGTCTGAGACTAATCAAATGTAGGTCGCTCAACGAGGTGCTCAAGATGATTGCCAGAAGTTCACTGTAGGCCAGGGCACCGGAAACGCAGGAGGCAATGCCGGTGGCAACGCTGCTGGTGGAAATGGCGGCAACAACAACAACGCTGCGGCCTCTTCTACAACCGCTGCCGCTGCCGCGACCAGCGCCGCTACAGGTAACGGAAATGGTGCTGGCAACGGAAATGCCAACGGAAATGGCAATGGCGCTGCCGCCACCACATCAGCCGCCGCTTCTACTCAAACTGGTTCTACTGGCTCGAACTCCACTACAGGAGGGAATACTGGCTCTGGCCGTGGAGGAAGATTCGGTGGTGGACGAGGCCGCTTCGGCCGTGGACGTGGACGATTCGCCGCCCGAGACCTCATTGCATGATTTTCCACTCTATCAACGTGTGATGACGCCAAAAAAAAAGCACGAGACCAGAAAAGGGACGTTAGCCGTCCCCACATGATGCAGCATTATCTCTTTATTTTCTTTTCTATGTCATAGAGTGTATAACCAGAATCAGTCTTTCTGCTTTCGAGAGCCAGACGCCGGGGATTAGGTGGGTGTGTTTTAGCGAGAAACGACGGGCAAGGAGCGGCAGAGCTGGGGGCAGCAGAAGTCAGTGCCAAATGGAACTCTGATTTGGAGGCGGGCGTGCGGGATCGCGCAAGACCCGTGAAGCAAATTTAGCCGAGGGAATGGTGGGATAGTCGATTAGCAAGCTGAATTGAATCGAGAGACTCAGAACCTGAAATCGAATCCTCTTTTGTTCCGCGAGCATTGTGATACCCCAGATGCCTCTTAACACATGGAAAGGCGCTCAAGGCGCTATACCAACAAGAAGCTCGGTATATGCAGTGTGAGCGAGGCCCAAACTTGTCTGAATACCCAATCGCATCGGGCATCAACAAATTGATTGACCAAGGACACGCCTGGATGCGATTGCCCCTTGAAACATCGCCCTGCTTACACATAGAGGCCCAGTTCGTCTCAGAATAAAAATCTCTCACTACGGATATAGATGTCTCCGGTCTCGCCTCCCGGAAGTTCAGGTACCATGAACTCACCCACACTGCCGAGCACAGTTCTAGCCCATCAACTCTCCTGCCTCGACCAGCGGGTTGGGGGGTTCGCCTCACTGACCGTTTTGACTGCACTGACCGGGCCAGGCAGAGGACGGTCAGCCACCATCGAAACAACAACGGAGAGCAAGGACATTGGCTCCATCGCAGACTCGCAGACAAGCATGTTTCCATGGTATCTGGTCTCTCGTCTTCAACATTATATTCAGATCACTGCCGCCATGGGTCCCGTTCCACTGCTGGTGAACGAAATCCATTCGCCGTGGACGACATGGATGGTGTGCCTCTAATACATCTCCACGTTCCCTTTCTCCCAACCATGGTAGAGACAACGCGCTGGAAGTGCTAGCATGACGGTTAAGTCGCCATGTTCGCGGGTCTGCTGCTTACCATTTTCAAAATGCAGAGAGGCCTGAGTTGCGATTTCTTTCGGTAAACCCTCCTTGACCCTCCAAGGCCTCTTGACTAAGAATACTGGAGAATGTGCTGTGAATCAGCCGTAGAAAATGCGCCATCGACAAACAGTCGACCGTAGTGCTTTCGAATCTGACGTCATTTATTTTGTCCATGTTCAGATTCGTCTCACCAGGGTCCCACCTCCCAAACACTCAGTCAGTTCACTGTCCGAACGGTACAGGGCAAGGGCCAAGTCGCTGAATGTCGACCAAGCCTGATCATGTCGGAGCAACTGGACCGTCCTGGTCAGAAGGACAGCGCTATTTGCTTGTCCCTCAGCCCCGTCAATGCAGATGACAAAGAGTTGCATTCTGCGGTTCGCGCGATTGCAGTCTTCATCAACGCTGGCACGACCGATAAATGGCTACAGCTGAAGCTTTGTTTACACACGCGCAACAAGCTAGTCAATTACCTTCAATCCAGTCGCGCTCTCAAAGGCTATCGGTAAGAATAAGCACTTACCTTCAAAGTGCAGAGGGACTCGGGCCGACATTAATCCCGCAGTCACATCTACAAGTACTTGCCGAAAGAACAGGAGTTTTGGATTGGAAAGGCGTCACCCACACACACAGTCTCTGGTGCCCCAGTCGCGCGTCGCGTCGACACCCGTTCCCCCAGCATTGGCTTTAGGGTTGCCCGGGGCACAAGCCAAGGACGAATAGGGCAGAATGGAAGTGTACTGTCTTCTGGCAGCTGGAAATATTCAGTGTGTCATATGTCTCAAAGTTGAATGCGGTTCTATCCAGTACCAAGCGGGCTCCACTGCCTGTGTGGGTGCGTGAAATCACTATTTCTGACGGTCGCAGTTACAGGTTGAGCGTGAAGCGTCCGGTTGAGGACGAGGTAAGCACTCCACGTCGGTGCCATGACACGTCTCTTTTCCCTTCGTGACATCGACTAACCCAAATCTAGGTCTTTTGTATGGCCAATTGTTCATCCAAGTCGGGGTCGCATGGTCTGCCAGTTTCCCTGAAACATTTGGTTCCGCGCGGGAATTCCTAGGAAGAAACCCGTGACTGGTCTGCCGGTCTTGCTGAGCACCTCACAAAGATTCGTATCGTGGAGACAGAGCTCTGTCAATAACTCGACAAAACCCAAAACCTGGACAGAAGCACCTCCCCTCGAGTAGCCGAAGATACACTTGGGCGATAAACCGCAGCTCGAGCTTCCACGACGGTGTCGACCCAAAGAAGTCGATATTGAGCGTTTGAAGTTGGAGCCGAGGATCAGAGCGTGGATGGACGCTGTGGGCAAAACGACTGCGACTGTGTCGATTACCCAGACCATTCGCCATTGGAATTCCGCTTACCGACAGTGGTGAATGCTGCAAGTGCTGGTGATCAATTGTCGGGCGGAGGTGATCACCTGGACACTTTTTCGACTCGATACAACTGTTAAGGCTGGAGGATGGCTGACGGTGATAATGACTCCAATGGGTTGATGAGTTGGTTAAGGGCACAATGCTCGGCAAGTTTCGTTCGCGTTGGACTGCGAGAAAACCGGGTTCCTTTGGGGGCGAGGTCCTTGGTTAGAGCCGCGTCCAGCCATTCTCACAGCAGGATATGTGTGCGGCTGCTGCTTTCGTGCAGGACGTCGAGGACCGCGTCCACTGGCCATCAGTTCTATAGGTGAGATGAGTGCTGAAATCAATAATTGAGCCATTTGCCTGTGTGTTTCTGTCTGTCCTTCCCTCGACCGTCCATAGACAAACACTGATCAAGATCCGGGAAACGAGACCTGGGGACCACGACCGAGGCATCGACCAGTCAGATGGGCGGGAGTCTGGTTGCCATAACCTCATAAGCCTTCGTTGAGCCTGATATGCACCGATTGTGTGTGGACGACTCGACGGCTCGACGATTCGCCAGACTGTCTCCCGAGGCATGGAATCGGCAGGTATGGCTGAGGGGACGCCGTGTGCGCGGGGAACCAACCACCAAGCCAGTTACGGTTGCTCTGAATGGTGCAAATGGTGTTGGTGCTGGATGTATCAACAAACAAGAAAAGCGACCCCGCCCGTCCCTGGTGTTGACCTCGTCGTATTGACTCGTATGTATACATATTATCCGCCTGAATCTGATGGCTGCGACAGAAATGGCATGCTCACTGTAGAATGATCGCTCTACTGAATTGGGCTGCTCCTTTGCACTTGACAACAACAACTGCGCAGCCATGATTCTCTCCTTATTTCAGATTGCCGCAGCAGGCACAGTCCTGGGCGTGATTTCTCACCTGGCGTATTTCATCCATGGCGAACACCATCGGCAAGCATTCCAGTATTTTGTGGCCTTTCTAACGTTTCCCGTCATTGCAACCGCTGCGCAGGTCACTCTCGGGGTGAACCTGGTGTTGGCTGTCCAGCAGACCGCCGTCTTCTACGCCACATACCTAACAGGGCTATACTCGAGCCTTTTCCTCTACAGAGCCTTCTTCCATAGACTGCACTCGTTCCCCGGCCCGTTTGGAGCAAAGATATCGAAACTATGGCACGTCCGGAAGGTGGCTCCGACCATCGACAACTACAAGCACATGACTAGAATGCACGCGAAATACGGGACCTTTGTTCGGACCGGTTCGTGGCAGAGCTGGGCAGATGAGGACGACGGATGATGGTGTGTTTGCTGACCTTCTCAACAGGACCAAATGAGGTTTCCATCATCCATCCCGATGCGGTCGAAGTGCTTTACGGAGCATCCTCCAAATGTACCAAAGGTGCTGGATACGAAGGCAACTCTGACTTGACGTCGATGCATTCGACGAGATCAAGACGGCATCATGATCTCCGACGGAAGGCCTGGGCTCGAGGGTTCACGCAAAACTGTAAGGATAGCGTCGGACATCGAGGGCTCTACTCTGCTGACGACTTCACTGTTCAGCGCTCCGCGAATATGAACCTCGCGTCGAACGGTACACCCAAAGCCTCGTCGAACAGATCCGGGCCTTTTCTGGACAGCCGATCAACGCCGCACAGTGGTTCAACTATTACAGTTTCGATGTCATGGGGGATCTGGCTTTCGCGAAAGACTTCGACATGCTCAAGAATGGACAGAAGCATTGGGCCATCGAGATCCTCAATGCTGGGCAGCGCGGGATTGGAGTTTTTGGACCCGTGCCATGGCTGTTCATCATCATCAGCAGCATCCCTCAGATCACTAAAGAATTCCGGAGATTCATCAAGTTCTGTGAAGATATGATGGACGAAAGAATGAAGATGAAAGTCAACAGACCCGATATATCCTCTTGGATCTTGCAGTCTCCGCCCATGACGGACACGCGTTACAGCGAACGTGCCTGGCTCACTGGCGACTCGCGATTGATCATTGTGGCTGGAAGTGATACGACTGCGGCTACCTTGACGCACCTTTTCTATCATCTGGCCAAAGATCAATCTCAACTCGAACTCTTGAGAGAAGAGATTCAGTCTCTGAATGGCGATCTGCAAGCCTCCAAACTGCTCACTCTCAAGCATTTGAATGGTGCAATCAATGAGGCGCTCAGGCTTCACCCACCTGTTCCCAGCGGAGTTGCCAGGCTCACACCACCAGAAGGCATCACTGTGGGAGGTACATATATTCCCGGTAATGTCAATGTACTGGCACCTTCATATCCTTTGTTTCGCTGTGAGTTGATCCCTCCCGATGTGTGTACGGGCGCTGAAGATGATCCCCCAGCCCCAGAGTGTTATGAATATCCAGACGAATTCATTCCGGAGCGATGGTAAGCGAACAACCGTATGACTCTGTCAACTCACTCAGCTAATGGTCTTTTCAGGTACAGTAAGCCAGAACTGTTGAAGCGCAGCGATGCATTTGCTCCTTTCCTCATCGGTGAGCTTACCTCCCTGCCTCGTTCCATTGTGCTCTGACTTTCGTTTGCCTTAGGACCATATTCTTGCATCGGCAAACAGCTTGCTTTGATGGAAATTCGCTCCGTGACTGCTCAGATACTCTTGAACTTCGACGTCACATTTGGTCCTGGTGAAGACGGGACAACTCTGCTGGAGAAGACTCTCGACACCTTTACCATGGAACTGGCGCCCCTGAATCTGTGCTTTCTTCCGCGCAAGCACGAGGCCGAAGTCTGAAGGGGCTTGAACTCTGGACTGTATCAGGGCAGGCCGCCAGAAAAGAGAGCTGGTTGTCCCCAACTGTCGTTCATCAAACTTAGAATACCTTCAGCAGGCGGAGGTCATAATGTATCTGGATTCCTTAATTCCAGCCCCAGCATGTTGGGGGCTGTCTTCTCCCCAAAGATGGATGGGTGGGAATGACAAATGTTGTACAGACTGATGCTCTCGGTTATTGACAACTGTCTTATCGAGAGGGTAGTCGCATCGGCTTCTGGTTTGCGTACGTCAAATTCGAACGCCTAGACAGAGAATAGTGAACTGGGGCTCGTCACAAAGACGTCTACTGTACATGCTTTAGAAGCGCGGGGTGATTTATCAGCGATGATTAGAAATTGAAGCTGTTGTCCTTGCTCGACCTCCCGACTTTGAGGCGCGTGATGAGGGAAGCTCCAGGCACCGCCAGGCAGAAAGACGCAGACTGGCTCGCCGGGATTGAGAGCGCGCCAAATCACCTGACAGCGCGTTCTCGCGCATCTCGAAACTTCAGGCGTCAATGGCGTAGGCAATGGTGATGTCGATCCTCGGATGTCTGTGGCAGTAAAAGGGGGGACGGAGAGAGTCCCTCGTATTCCAGACAATGAGATACGTCGGCGACGGGACAATTTAACCCGCCTGGTTGCTATGAGTGCTCTTTCCACAGGCTGCGATGACAAACAATTTGCGAGAAGAGAATGGGGAGAGGAATATAAAAATGGCAACGCCAAAGGTGAGCTGGATTCTACTCCTTGCTCTTTTCTCAACGAGCGAGGCGAGCGAACGACGTTCTTCGAATCCGCAGTCAAAGAGAGTCACAGTTCTCGACTCTAGTCGCACTTCACCCTGCTTGACGTTGGCGATATATTCCAACCACAAGACCAAACACATCTCCGAAACCTTTGACGTTTTTAGAATCCAGGGAAGCCTTGAAAAGGGAAAACAAAATGGCCAATGTGAAGGTAAAATCAAATCGCCTACCTGCACCGGCGCCCTCCTTTCTCAGTCTCTTTCTGTTTGACTCCCCGCTGTTTTGGGCCTCGCTGAACCGCCTCCCCCGACCTTAGATCGTCTCGCAGGCTGAGTACCTCCCTCTCCGCCTGTCTCTCCTTGAGGCCGAAAAGGAGAACACGCGGGCTCGCGACGCGCTTGCCCGCCAACGACGAGCGCTGCCCGTGGTCGAAGTCACAGCCCCGTACACCTTCACCGACGAGGACGGGAAGGAGGTCAACCTCACGGACCTTTTCGACGGACGCCCTCAGCTGATCATCTACCACTTGATGTTCAGCCCGGACTGGGACGCCGCATGTCCCAGCTGCTCTCTGTTGGGCGACTCGGTTCCGGACCTGCGCCACTTGAAGGGCCACTCGACCACGTTCGTCGCCGTGAGCCGTGCCCCGATCGACAAGATCCGGGCATACAAGAAGCGCATGGGCTGGACGTTTCCCTGGGTCTCGTCCTCAGGGTCGAGCTTCAACTACGACTTCGGAGCCACGCAAGACGAAGCTGTCAAGCCCATCAACTACAACTTCAAGACCAAGGAGGAACTAGAGAAGCGGGGCATGCCCTACTTCGCAAAGGGCGAGCAACCCGGCCACTCGGTCTTCGTGCTCGGCGGGCAACTGACCGGCGTCGGCGACGAGGGCAAGGTCTACCACAGCTACAGCAGCTATGCGCGCGGTGGAGAGCCCATCATTAACACCCTTACCTGGCTGGATATGACTCTCTTGGGCCGGCAGGATGGCGTCAGCGGTGTGGGGGGATTGGGATTCAAGAGGCATGACGAGTACACGGCTGAGGACTTGAAGGGACTGCCGATTACGAAGATTGGTGCTTGAGGTGAGGACTCGGGGACGGTGTGGGTGTTGGGATCTGCTACTCAGTGAGGTGGTCGGCTCAGCTGTTGTTGGAATGAGATGAGGAGGGAAGCTGGATGAAAAGGTGTCGTAAGCAATAAATGCAATAGTTTTCTCTGCCTTGCCCTCCTTGCCTATTACTCAGCGAGTCAAGAACAGCCCTATTCGGCTGCTATCTTTTGGCCCCCATTGCCCCTATTGTCCTCCTGCTTCGAAATGGCGCCGTAGGCGTGCCCAAGCGTGCTCGGCGTCGAGATCGTTGGCCACATGCATGTCGAGTCATCGTTGGCCCAAAACTCCATCGCGCCTTCGGACCAATCGACCAGGAAACCGCTGTTCTTTGCTTTGAACTCAATATCTGTCGTCCTGCACGCCGGGCTCAGAGAAGATGCCCGCTACAACTTATTTCTGCACCTCGTTTGCTTGTTTCATCGACTCCGCAATGCCCGCTACTCGGCTCTCCGGACTCCCTAGGCAGCTAGTTTCAAGTGAGCGGACTGCTTACAAGAGCAAGAGAGAGAGAGAGGGCTATACGAAGCTAGCAATATGTGCTGTAAGTGGCGACTGTATGCGACACTAACGGGACTGGCCACTTTTCAAACAATTACCAAACGTACTCCCTCTCTCACTCCCTGACTCTTCGTTTCTACATCAAGATTGTTCCATGTTTCTGGCTCAATGACAATGAACACAGCTATTTCGACTACATGACACTTCAACCTCGAGGCCACAGCCTCTTTTTCTTCAGTTCAACATGTTCATAACATATACGCATGTGGATCAATTGAAATCCCGCGCCAAAAAATGGCAGGTGAATTCTTACCAGAACCTCCGGCGCAAGGAACTCAAGGCATCCCTGCCAGCGACAGACAAGACTGCGCGATCCAAGAGGCCTAAAGTGTTGGCCTGGAACCAAGTCCCAAGGGCATCTGCTGAGCTGCACGGGGGTCAAACTACGGGAGGACCGACGGGAACCAGGTCAGACGGTGCTGTCGAGGGCAATGCCGTTGTTGTAGCAGTCCCCGTTGAGCCTCCTGTACAGACAGCTCTAGAGAGTCTTCGTGGTGATCCTTTCAATTCATATCCCATGCAACCCTGCCGCCGAGTGCAATGGACTGTCGACTACTGTCAGCTCCCCCGACTCCGTCGAGCCCAGCCAGTTCAGATGGCATATGGGTAACATAAAACTAACACTTCCTAGTCACCCAAATATACGCGCCGATGAACGCGGTAAACTATCGAGACAGTCAAGGAGGCAACTGGCTCTTGTCGTACCTCTTCCGGGTCGCACTGCAGGCCGATCTACTTTTTGAATCCACCGTCCTTTTCATCTGGAGTCAGCTACCAGCGAGTCGGCTGGGGTCTTCTCCGGAAGAGCACGAGAGAATCTTGATGAGCGTTAGAGGAAGCGTCATGCCCAAGCTCCATCATCGTCTCACTGTGCCGCAGCTATGTTCCGACGATGTGACCATCCATACCGTCTTAGCATTGATGGCAGGAGATGTAAGGAGCCACCTTACCTTCTCTGCTACTACTAGAGGTTAACACATCCGATGTACCAGTTTCACCGCGGAAATGATGACCATGTCGAGCTACACCGAGAAGGATTGCGGCGCATTGTGGATCTCCGGGGCGGATTGTTAAACAGTGACCTTCAGCCTCAGACCCGATATTCTGTCACCGCGTGAGTCGCGTCACCCCTAATCGGCATCTCGAAACCCAGTCAGTTTTGACATCCTTCTACAGAACCGAGATGATGTGCGACTATGCGATCCGGAGGCGCCATCGCTCCCCCAAGACCAACATCACACCCGACAGCACGCTGACGTATCCCACTCATCCATATCCCCCCGCCCTGTCGAAGCTCCTGTCAGCTCTGCCCGAAGGGATCAGCGACATGGCCCTGAAAACGTTGCTGTCGAACCAAGTCATCCGCCTTCTTTACCGGATGTCCAAGACGGTCGAGAAGGGCCCCACAGAGTTCCCCGAGGATACATCCATCGCCGTGGAGATGATGCGCTTGTCGATGGAGTCGAACGCCAGCACGCTCGAGAAGGCCATTGTGACGCTCAGTTTCGTGTTCGGGAGGTTCCTCCTCGACGTGGCCACCGCGAAAGACCACCGTGTCAACCACTCGACACGCACATATCAGTCTATGAAGGAACAGCTGCACGGCCTGTGCCAATCGATATTCGGACATGTCGACAGGGCCGGCCCGGACTTTGTGGCTTGGGCGGTCTTCCTCCTCTCGTCCGCCAGGGCCGATTACGCCGTGCCGGCGTCCGTGCAGGACGAGATCCTCCGACAACTCCCCCTCACGATCCCTGACGTGAGGCGGTTCGACACATTTTTCGGCATGGTGAAGAGGTTCTTGTGGCACGAGAAGCTCGTGCCATGTCTGGAGGAGCTGTGGAAAAGGATGATGGGCCTGGAAACTTTAAGTTGAGAAAAGCGGAAGTCGAAAAGAACATACAGTGTTGATCACCTTTCTCTTATTTCTTTTCTTGTTTTTTCTTTTGCCCCCGCCGCTCTTGCGGCCATAATCCCAGCTCTTCTCTCTCGGTAAGCTACTACCTTGCATTACAACGTGTATCTGAATCCCTTATTGTCCAGCTCCGTGACATCATGCATCCCTCGTTCGATGGCCTCCTTCTCCTCATCAAGATCTGCCACACCTGAAGCGGCTGCTTCACGGTCTCGCCTCTTGTTCTCTGCAAACATGTAGACATACAAGACAACAATAGCCACCAGCTTGATCGTGTACCCGACGAGCATCGCCACGTAGGCGGAATGATATCGCGGCGCCTCGCTTGACTTGAATGTTTGCGGCCTGCCGTCTTCGTGTCAGTGGCCTGCTATGCGCAAGTTTGCTGTTGGACGTATGATGAAAAGGGGGACAGATATCCGAAAAAAATCCTCACCCAATTATGTTCCCCACGCAATACCCGGTGAAAAGGATCGCCGCTGTGAGTTGCTTTTTGGTATACCCGGCCACATTGGAGCTGACCATGGTCAAGCTCATGCTGAAGCCCAGGCCTTGGAAAAAACACAACCACAACCCGACCAGCCGGCCCCATTTGTTGCTATCTGGCAAACCGACGAGCAGCCCAGATCCAACGATGCAGATCGTGTTTGCCACGATCATGGTGATGCATCGGAGATTCGGCCACCTGGAACAGATGATCCCTCCACCAAGGAGGGCGACGAACTGGACGGCGCCGCCCGGGATCTGGAGATACTGTGTCCCTAAAGTGTCGACATTGAACGATTGAATCACCAGCGACGTGAACTGGGTGATTGCTGAATTCGGAATTTGCGCACCCACGGCCATGATGAACAAGATCCAGGTCTTTGGGTCTCTGAACGTCTGCCACATTTGGTAGGACTTGAAATGTCGATTTTTGATGCCCTGACGGTTGGCAGAGACGCGTTTGGCGGCAATCACTTTCTCGGCGTCGGTAAGGAATTTGGCCGTCGACGGGAGATCTGGGAGCATGACAAGGGCCAGAATACCCAGAGCGATGCTGATACTGCCGAATATAATAAAGACGTACATCCAGCGAGGTAGGCCGGTTGTGATATGGCCAACAGCATAGCCAATCAAGCTCGATTTGCTCTCAGTATCTTTCAATGGGGTGAGCATAGAAAACTTACCCCCCAAACATCGTTGCGATGCCATTTGTGCAATAGTAGGCCTCCAGTCTTAGGGGCTGCTCCAGCGACGTGTACCAGATGCTCATGATGAGAACAAAACCGGGGTTCACCACTGCCTCAAACGAGCCTAGCAAAAAGCGATTGACGGCAATGCCAGCAAAGCTTGAACAAGCCGGGGTCGTGATCAGGATAATCCCCCATGCGATAGTAGTGGCTCCGATCACCTTTCCAACTCGCAGTCTTTGTAAGAAATAGCCGGCCGGATACTGCGCCCACAGATAACCTGCATCGATCAACAGAGAAAATTTCAGGATCCCAGGCCAGTGCTTACCAAAATAGAAGATTGACCCTAACCAGGAGTAGTCTTGGCCGTGTAAGTTCGTGCCCTTCTGTAAGCCGTACACACTGGCATAGTTGATGCCATTCTTGTCGAGATATTGCAGCAGGTATATGAGAAAGAGGATAGGCACAATTCGAATGTCAAGTTTGCGTAGCACTCTTTTGGATTCGGCCGGGTCGAGCTCTTGATCATCGCTCCGCTTGTATAGATGGTAGTCATCGTCGAGGTCCGCGGAATTCGCAGGAAAGCTCGCAACTGAAGCAGGACTAGTCTGGAGGGTAGTGATCTTGTCGGCTTCGTTTGAAGCTTCGTTGGCAGCCATCTTGTCCCTCTGCTGGGGTCAAACAATGTAGTCCAACAAGAGCCATTGACGCTGAGATATAAGTAACTCTAGCGTTTCTTTGGATCTCTCTACGTGGAGCATCGTTCTAGAATGTTACTGCAACACTATCAGCCGTCTTCACAAATTGCTCCACAAGCACTGTCTTCCGGCCGCGATCCCGTCGTTGCCTTTGGACTCCTGGCGGCCATGATACCATATCGACATATGATCACGACATCCGCTAACGACCAATCAGGAAAGGGATCTCCCCGACAGGATGTATTTGAGCCAACAACTGCGTCGACAGCAATCGCATGCGTCTCGGTTGGAAGATACGCCTGGCAGAGGGAAGAGTCGGTATGTGACCATGGAGCCAGCTTTTTGTCGATATAGGAAGGTGAATTTAAATGAGACAAAAATCCATCTCGGGGTCCCGGGCCCCAGTCGGCAAACAACCCGATGGCGGTCTTTCAGAGATGCATCTGGCAGGCACGTCGAGTGTAGGAACCAATCTATTGTATGTCTATCAGCATGTAGTTGTGCTGCGAAAACAGGCAGCCAAATATATGCCACGCAGAAACTCCATGCTCAATTGCGTGGTGCCGGGGTGACGATTAATAGGGCCATCCTGACAAGACTCGCTCGTTTTTCATGGTTTGGTGTGACTCTGCTCAATGCGAGTGGAGTTCCGCTGCCATCTCCATACACTCCACTCGCAAAGACCTTCATCGTCCCAGAGGTCGAGGTCAGCTTGCTCACGACCTTCGTGGAGCGGTTCTAGACCTCCCTTTTCCAGAAGCCGCCACAACTCCCGGATTTGATCCAGGTAAGCCACACGCATAGGGTATGTCAAAATGACACGGGACGAGGACCCCGGTGCAAGCCAGCGGAGTATGGCTTGAGAGAGCAGTTCAGGATGCTCCTCTGAGTATATCGTGTCTGCGGCGAGAATTATGCGGGATTTGTCCTTATCCGCGTAGTACAATGTCCCGTCTTGGAGGGTCAGAGTCTCTGGGTTACTCCAGTCCAGTGAGCCACTTTCAACAAGGCCCTTCACCGTGGCAGCGTTGAGTTTGATATTACCAGCGAGTCCCGGCACAATTGATGGGAGGTCTGTGAGGATCACTGGTGATTTCCACAGAGCCGCTGCAGTCAGACCGACAAGACCAGTACCGGCACCGAGCTCCAGGACTGGTATAGGGGGAGGAGAGGAGAGATCGATAGACAGTTTATGGAGTAAGCTCGCGAGCACAAAGGACGATGCCCAGGTCTGCAGACTTAGGCCTTGTGCGCGTAAAGCTGGCTCTGCTATGTTGAGGCAAAGGCGGACATCCCTTCCGCAGGGGATAGAGAAATGTCGAAGCATCTGAATCTCAGTCGGTTTGGCTCCGCTGGACGTTTGATCAGGACAATAGGCTATGTCCGTCACTTTTCGTTGGGAAAATCTTAACAATATGTGATACAGTAGTCAAAGGAGTTTCTTCGGTATGCACGTGACTATTATACGGGCAAGCAAATGGCCAAAATAAAAGCAGCAATTTGCGCAAAGTCACTCACCTTCGTACCCATTACTCTCTCTCTCTCCGACTCTGTGGCACCACACCTCGCCACCATCGCCTGTCCTCCAATTCAAGAGTCGCGGCCATCTTCATTGCCAATGTGGCTCATAGTGACCTCCTTTGCTCCAACGTATGGTCAATATCGTCCAGTGCCTGATGATGGTGGCTCAACACCTTGATGGGATTCGTTCTGTGGCAGTTCCTCTCGAATGCTCCAGAAACGCGGACAAAGGAGACGGCCCAATGTGGAATCCAATCCGCATACCAGCCTCCATGCGAATCAACCTCATGATTCTGTTGCTTTGTCGACATGCCTTTTTGGGAGTGCTCCTTTTCCGGAGCTTCTTCTCGGCTTCTTTGGGTTTGCCTGTTCAGACCGGTTTGGAGTCAGGTCCGGTTGAATGCACTAGAAAGGCGACGGAGATTTATGGTGGAACATCCGATAAGTCCAAGCTGACCTCGATTTTGCTAGGCCGTTGTTTCTTTTCTTCAGACATGAGCAAAATCATCGAAACAATGTAATGATATTCCAGAAAAGCAATTCAGACTCGTCACACCCGCGTTAAGGGGTCATGGCTTCCTTCCCCTATTTCTACGTTGCCCATGGCGCCTCCTCGGACCAGGCGAATGCAAGATTTTGACGATCAGTCACGCCGTTGGGCAGTATGAGGCTCTGGAAGAGCTTGTCAATCTCGAGTCACCTGGGTCTGACCGCACTGATGTTTTCGTACCCTCGATATCACCAAAACGGTCACCTGTTGGTTGAAAGGCGTCTTTTCCCGCCTACAAGATGCAGTTCTGACTTAGAGAAGGGTCATGACATTATCGAACCCTGGACTTTTGTTTGACAAGGGACTTAAAGTCAGCCTTCGAACGGTTCCCCTTTTCTAGAAAGACCTATCTATCCATGCGCAGAGCTTCCCCCCCAAGATCTGATAGCTTCTATAACGGCGGTTCCAGATCAGGAGCTTTATATTGATTATGCGCCTCGCCGAGCGGATCCTTGTGCCAGTAGGCGTTTGGCGAATCACCTCGAGTCGGCTTACCACTGTTATGGACTTCTTCGCTTGGGTATTGTGACCTCTGCCTCCGCTGAGATAGTGAAGATATGTGAGTGTCCTCCCTTTTCCGGTTCTCAACCATGGAACGGAAATACACAGAGACCTACGTCACGATTGGCACTATCATGACTATCAATCATGGCAAGGGAGTCGCTCCCGAGTCGACCTTACTCCTCGAAAATGTACAAGGATCCGCCCCAGTTGCAGATCGAACTCTTTGAGCTTTCAAAATCTTTTGTCGCTTATCGTTCTCGACAAAAGTTTTCCTTGTTGCTTGCTTTACGACCTCTCACATTCGAACGACCACAAAGAGGCACGGTGACAGCAACCGTGTTATGGCCTCAAGGTTAGCCACTACCAAATGGCGATGATCCCCCAAAGAGAGGCGCACCCGTCCTCTTCATTATCACTTGTGCAGCAACGACAATAGTGGTGATACTGACTTCTTTCCCTTTTTTGATATTACAACATCCCCTAGCATGGATGATGCACTGCCTCTTGCGGGCTTTGTATGTCTCACTCGCAACCTCATCCATTTTGATCTGCCAACGATTGCTAGATATTGTCTATTGGACAGACCGTTGCGCAATACAAGGCTCTCACAACAACTGGGTGGGACATACATCTTTGGGATGTCCCTCTATATCGGCTGCAATACATTCGGCTGCTGCTTGGCTCATCGAACTTTTCTTCCTGCTCATAAATGCTCGCCTCAAGATCTCGATCGTGCTTCTTTACCACAAAATATCATCAAGAAGCCACAGCATATGATTCATTCAACTCACCCGGACGACAATCACATTTACCGTCGCCCTTACTGTTGCCCTGGTCTTGGAGCCAGTTTTCATCTGTCGACCTCTAAGTCCGTATTAACAGTCTTACATTCTGGAATTTACCGTTGAGTATATGTGCGGCAACGACATGTTGCCAGGGTCTTTAGTGCTGTGCTTCCTGTCTTCTTCGGCAACTACGCATCAGTTTTGCCAATGCAGTTAGTTCGGGGTCTTAATTTATCGAGTAACTAGGGGTTTGTCTTGTATACCCTGTTTTCTGCAGGGCTGATGACGGTTGGGATTGACATTGCACGGATGATGTTCCTTGTCAAAGTGACCACAACTATCCACTGGCCGCATCGTCGTGACGTGACTTGGTACGGGTGGCCGACTTCTGTAAGTTGCAAAATTACTCGAACTTCAATAAAATGCTAAAGGCAGAGCAGGCTCTGACTGGCAGTTGATAGAAGAGGGCGTGAAACCCGTCTTAGAACTGCCCAGAACTATTCAAATGGCGGATGCCATAAGAGAGTTCGAGAAGAATGCCGTCATTGCGCCGATTGCTTCTGAAATTCCCGGATATCCTCAATCCTCCTCCCCAAGTGCCGGAATGACTCAAGGAATTCGCTACTCGGAAATTTGGGAATGTAGCTGCTCAGATGATCATCTTGAATGGGTCAAGGTTCGAAGCTTTGATTTCCAATACTTCCGGGATTTTCTTAGCGTTGTCTCTGCTCACCGAGCGGAATACATGATACGTCAGAACCCAGTAAGTAAAGCCTTGAGCGATGCCGTTGTACACCATCAAGAAGGGCACGGAGGTTCGAAGGTACTTATAGCATTCTTGACGCTGAGCTTGCTGCCGATACAAGTGGAGAATATGGTGGTTTCTGCATTTTAAGGCGCGAAGACTTTCGTTGGGCAGACCTAGAATTCCTCGCCCCGACATGGCTCGGGACAAAGAATAGATCCAATAACATCGAATCCCCAGACAGATGAGCTCGTCTCACCATTTCCATGTAGAGAACTAATGACTGGATATTCAATTGGCTTCATCCGGGGTACCATGTTGCACTCATAAAAAGTCCGAAAGCAAACTAGCTTGAATTCTGGGTCGCCTTCACATTCAATATAGAATTAGAGAAAACAATGGCGTGTGGCATGCTAGAGAGAAGACAAGGATAATCTACATGGTTTCTGAATGAGTATCAAAAGACTTGCGTTGTTTTGTTTGCAGAAGTTCAGGAGTTGTTTTTGGATGCAACGGTCGACTGGTGGTAATTGCTTTTGAAGGCGTTGTGGTCCGGCGTAGACCTTGGTGCGCAATCCCTCAGCTTCAATCGAATTCCCGAACTCCGACTTCAATCCGGCAACAAGATTCTTTCGGTTTTGCCCAGGTCCAGAAGACGGACACGAATCCCGTATTCCACAACATGGCGTCTGCCGCCCGCGCCTCGAAATCTATCAGCAATGGACTCTCAGCTGTGAGAAGCCGATTTGTTTGTCGAACCTGCAAACATCAACTTTTGCAACGCGAAGCACAGCAGACTCGACAATCCTCAAGCCTGTCATCTAGAGACCCCATTCGTCGCGCCGCAGGCCTCGTTAATGAACAGCGCCGCCACGTCTCCTTCAATTCTCTCCTCAGCCGCTCTCGGCCTTCCGAACAACGGTCGCAGCTTGAAGAGGCCGAGGGCGCCGTGCCGATCGAGGAGTATGTCGAAGCGACCACCTGGGATGGTCTGGAACATTTGGGCCATCAGGGACATTGGAGAGATCTTCCCGCTGATCCCAAGGACGACTATGAACCGTAAGTCTCCTTTGACCCCAACCGTATATGCCAGTGATCTGAATCTGGAATTTTTGTAGCTGGCTCGATCCAACCACCGCAACACCTCTCCAGCGCGACGAATTCCTTTCATTTCTCTACATTTCCATTGTCGAATGTCTTGCATACAAGCAACTTGGCAAGGATCCGACGATTCTTTTTGAGCAAGGTCCGCCCGACTTCCATGGTGATATGACTTCTCTGAAGATCAAACTGTCGAGCTCTGGAACGGTGTCACATCTGGAGGATCCGTGTGGTGTCTTACAGAAAGCCCGCGAAGCGCCGAGGCCAGAATCACAGAGACAAGAAGAGATTGAACTTTCCATTCCCGAGGTCGAAGAACAGCTCGCTGATGCAAAATTTGATTTCAGCGATCCTCTCACATTTTCTGTACGTTCTGTTCTTGCGCACCCCTTGCTGCCTCACGTATTTCTCCAATCCTCAAATTGGGTTAATCTGACTCGTTCGGCGATAGATAGTCAAGCGCTTCTCCCAGCTCACCTCCCACCGGGTGCCTGACCCCCTCCTTAACACCGTCTTGCGCGGCAGCAAACCCCTAACCACCTTTGTCGATTTGCTCACTCAAACCGCAAAACCCAAGCCCAAGAGATTCGCAGAACTGTTACTTTCCAAGCAGAAGAAAGCACTAGATTTTGCGGCAAGGGAACAACTCCGCGCCGAGGCTGAGGGGACACCATTTTCGGATCAAGCAGAGGAAGCGATCTCTGGACAATCGAAAAATCCAACCCAGAAAAAGGCGAAGAAGCAGAGGCAGAAGTTCCAGCCCCTCGGGCCCAATGTGATGATTTTCCCTCGCCGTGAAACGCAAGTTGATCGCGAAATGGAGGTTGGCCGATGGAAGGTCATCAAGCGTGAGCTCGAGGATCGGGGTCTGCCGGTGTATCCGCTTCCGAAGCTGGTACCCGAGGGTGAAGAATGGAGGAAGGAAGCAACGTCAGGGGGAGTTGTGCAGAGAAACATGTGAATGCAAGCAAATGCCCCATGTTACCACAACCGCATCGGCACAAAAGCTTCTCCCCAGTTGAGCTGGAGCTCATGCATGAAGAAATCATCTAGGGTGTGCAATGGCTGGGTTTGGACGGAGACCAGCAGCATACCGCGCCAGAGAACGTGGGAAAGTTATACGGGGGAGAAAGAGACTGTAACGTGGACGCAATACATTCTCAAAAATGGTCGACCTGACGGCCTATATTCGATGTAAACGTTCTGCGTGCTCGGGTTTACACCTTTCGAATGTTTTGTGTATACTAAACTTTTGTCAACTAATAGAGAATGAGCATGCTGATTAATGGCCGTCGAAGTCATATATGTACAACACATGCTGCAGATTGTCGCTAGGCCCTGAATTAACATGGCACCTTTTTTCCCTCTAAAACACGAAGAGAAAACCAGTATATCGAAATGATGAAAGCGACGGGAGGGGTGAACGGCTGAACCCCCAGTCCGAAAGGTGACCAGTGACAATAGAAAGCAGTGACTATTTGATGTCGCTTGTCTCTTTCGTCTCGGCTCAGGTCTGGGAGAGGTTAGAGTTGATAGGCTGAATGTTGGAGGAAATGTGCAGGGTTGGCGAGGCAGGAGCTGGCGTTGAGTATTGCAAAGTCGACCGGATCGAGGCACCGTGTGAGGCATCAACGGACCGTTCCTTACCCTTGGAGTCTCCTTTCTTGTTGACGGTGTGACAGGGGAGAGTTCTTACTCTCTGACGAAGAGGCCTGCCATGCCCATGCCAGTGCCAATGCACATACTCACGACACCGACCTGTCCCTCTTGCAATTGAGGCATCAGAGTCGCGAGCTGTCTGGTCCCAGTCATACCCAGTGGGTGACCGAGCGCGATCGCTCCACCTCTTGGGTTGACCACTTCCGTGTCCAACCCCAGCTTTCGAATGCAATAAAGAGCTTGACTTGCAAATGCTTCGTTGATCTCCCAGATGTTCACGTCTTCTTTCTTCAAGCCAGTATAGTCGAGGAGCTTCGGAATGACCACAGCAGGACCAACACCCATCTCATCTGGCCTGCACCCCGCGACCTGACTGGCTGCCCACTTTCCGATAATGGTTTTAGTCAGGCCGAGTTCATTGGCGGTTGACCGGCGCATCAACAATGTTGCAGCAGCACCATCCGAAATCTGGCTGGAATTGCCCGCCGTCGAGAATCCATCTTGTGAGAAAGCGGGTTTTAGTTTGGCCATCCTCTCGAGGCTAGCGTCGTGTCTGATACCGTCATCTTTGTCGACCACAACTTCAGTGGGAGGTGCATCAGGGTGCTCTGGTGCATATTGTCTGACCTTGACAGGGACGATTTCCGAGTCGAACAGACCAGTTTTCTGCGCCTTTGAAGCTCTGCGATGTGACTCGGCAGCAAAGGCATCCTGGTCTTGTCGATTCACACCGTACCTCTTTGCCACATTTTCGCTAGTGAGGCCCATAGGCATGATGCAGTCCCGTGCATTGTCAATGGGGCTATTCCTGAGTTCGTCCCAGAGCATGGTGGGAATCGCCTTGCTTCCATAATTCTTTGTCATGCTCTCCATCCCTGCGCCAATGCCCACGTCAATCTGCCCCATAGCAATCATGTTCCCAATGCTTGTCACGGCGGCTAGACCAGAACTGCAAGCTCGGTTTACCGTGTGCAAGGCCGTCCGCTCATGAAAGCCAGCGTGTAACTGTGCCATACGAGAGGCTTTTGATCCGCCCAGTTCAGCAAGGACCACACCGACCGCAATGTCGTCGATTTTCGCTGGGTCAAGGTTCGGGTTCGCAGCGAGGGTAGCGCGTAGGACGTGGCAGAGAAGTTCGTGGTCGTAGGTGTCTCGAAAGCCCCCTTTGACGGCTCGGGTGACTGGGGTTCGTAGCGAGGAGAGGATGACAACGTCGCTGGGTTGTTTGGCGAGTATCTGCTTCAGACCTTTCGCGGCTGCCATGTTTGATGTCTTATCCCGAAGGGAGTTTGCACCGGCGCGATTTCAGACAGCGTGTTCTAAATTGTCTATGTTTACAGGAAACTTCAAAAGCAAGAAAGAATAGCGGTAATACTGGGGTAAAATATATATAGGAATGTAATCGTGAGAAAGACATGTCCGTCGGGTAAAGAATATCACTCAATTGAACAAGTCGCCATCGGAAGCGGGCAGAGGCCTCGGAAGCAACACTCGGCTCACAAGCCCCACCTGGGGGTTGCGGCGGAGCATATAGGCTGCGGTGGCAGTATATGCGCTGCGGTAAAGCATACATACCCAATATTACAGTCTACAATGGACATCGTCACTCGCTTCACCTTGATCAAGCAAGAGTCACCAGGCGGAACGAGCTGACACTCTGAATTGAGGCAAAGGCCACCAGATGGAGACAGCTGCCTCTTTTATGCCTCACTCCCTCATAGTCGATTTCGTGTGACTGCTTCCCAACGGCCCTGACAAAGTTACCCCTTGCCATTTCCGTTCTCTTTTATTCCTTTTCTCTGTCTCAGGTTCCTCCCACAATAGTTCCTAGTCTTGTTTAGTCCAATATAGACATCCCGTCATTTTGATTTCTCCCCTCGCTTCACAGCCGACAAGTTACTAAAGAATATAAGAACCGGGAAACGAGCTGGGGGGATTTTTACCATAACTATTACCTCGAAAGTTCCACGTCTCGCAAATGATGTGGTATGCGATATTCTTGCGCTGTCTAATGAGGGCATGCAAGTGACTCGTAGACAGACTTCTGGTCCACCGTCATCTCCCTTAGCAGAGTTTCATCCGAAGATAAGGATCTGCTCCAGGGAAAAGGCCAAAGCACAATGACCCGAAGTCCCCGGCTCAGCGCAACAGGTGGGAAAGCTCTGCTCGTATACCTCAACATGATTATCCTAATCCCCGGGAAAACGATGATTCCAGCGACATCGATGACTACCCAGTGATTCTAGCCAAATGCAGAGATACTGTTCAACCTGCACAAAGTGATGGTGATGGTGTTGACGATGGCGAAGCTTTGAACGTTGAATATCTCGACAGCAAAGTGGCTCAGTATGACTAAATCTCCCACCTCCCTCGGCTAGAGCCGATGGAAGTAGTGGTGACCACAGGAGGCTCTCCTTCAGATAGATGCAGAGACCGCGTCGGATTCCGTGGGCAAAGTTGATCAGGCGCAAGAAGATTTGTGGATCGTTCTACGAGCAGATGTCTAAGCCATTTGAGGATCCGACAATGTTGGCGTTCGATCTATTTGACCGATCTTGTATGCTGAGGCCGAAAGACGGCCACAAGGACCATGTCACCAGAAAAGGCTTGTGTACATGGGAAACCAGGCTCGGTTATGGTGACGTTCTGCTCATTCAAGATGTCATCGTCGAAAAGCTCTACCGACGACTCGGGCTGGGGAAGAAAACTATTCGAGGTCTGCTAGAGGCAGCTAAGCGCAAGACCGAGTATGGGGCTCTTGCTGCTATCCTCTGGCCCGAGTCCTCCAAAGGTGGCCCTTTCGAAGATCTTCTCAGGTCGGGGGCAGAGGCTCTATGTATTATCCAGCCACTGAGAAGATACTCCATGTTCACATGGAAAGAATCAGACTAAAGTTACAATCACGTTTCGCCTTTTTCCTATGTTCTGCTGTCTTATGGAAAGTATTCAAGGGCTCATTTTGGCGCAACAGCGGCGATCCCAAACGGCCTTCACAAAGTAGGGATGGCGTCGATTCCTCGTAATATTATCCCTCGCCTTCCTTTTCCCTTCTCGCGATCTAGAGATCCTTCGTAGCCTCGTCAGTACGTGCTTTCTACTCTCCGCCATCTTGCATCACCTCGTCTTCATCTCCTTCCTCCTCCTCGTCCTCCTCGCCTTCCTTTACATCCACACTGAACGTCATGCTCTGATCGACGCCGATGTACGAGTCGCACATGAGGAACAACGTCAAGTCCTTCTTGCCGGCCGTGGGGACGACATACTCCAACTTTGTTCCAAACTGTTTTTTTGCGATCGTCACGCGTTTGATGGCCAGTAAGGACCTTGTTTTCTCCTCGGCCACGATGAGCCACCAGTTTTCGAGCTTGCGGAGGGGATAGAACGGGGCGTGGACTGTGATATCAACCTCCTGTTCAGCACCGCCTTTGCCTTGCTCTTCTTCCTCTTCGTCTTCTTCCTCCACTTCCCTCGAAATGCGAACCGCTAGGTAGGCTGGGTGGCCCGCCGTAACATCCTCCTTGTCCTCGACATCAAACTCTAGTTCGAGACTGGGATACTTGTTATTCGTGAAGTTCGCCGCCTCCACAAGTTGGCGATTGCTCAATCCCATCATCTGCACCAGCTTCGCTTGATTGGGATTCTCCGAAGGGTCCATTGCCGTCATGAAATCATCGATGTCCTTTATCCCCTGCTTCGCAAGAATATCTACGATTTGAGAGTCAAAATGTGGGATCTGCAGCAATGGAGAATCGCGGTCCCACATGGCCTGCACAACCATCTGTGACATTTCCATTGCATTCATGGCGTTCAGGTGTCCTTCCGAACTCAACACATCGACACAAGCGGAGAGTAACGCGAGCGTTTTTGAAACTATGATTTCTTGATCTTTCGCAAGGTCGATGGGCAATTGCAATCTTGAAAAATGTGCTTGTAGTAACACCATGGCCTTGAAGTGGGGTGAATCGTATATCGGCTCAGACATTTTCACCGGCACGCGATCGTAGATGCGGCGGAGGATGTGATCTTCATGACGACGGAGTTGTATTGATTCAAACTCCGTGGCGGACGTGACAATTTCAAGGAGTCCTTTGAGTTTTGTGCGGGCTGTGAGAGAGAGGAGGAAGGTCTGCATCGTGATGAAGGAGATATTATAGTACGCCGCAATCATGGCCGGGTTGAGGGGAGAGACAGAATCATCTTCTTCGTCCAAGTCGATGATTTTGGCGTCAGAGAGTTCCTTCAGCGTGGTCTCAATTAGTTCCGAGAGGTGTGTGCTAAGGCCATCATGGGATGTGTCGTTGAGTCCATAGTAGCTCGGGTTAGCCAGAAGGCGGCGGTAGAAGTATGTATATGTGGTCCAGTCGACTGCATCTTGTGTGGATGTGATCGTCTTGGTGCTGATCTCGGTAACGAATGTGTCATGAAGCCAGAGTTGTAGGTGGCTTTCTATGGGCAACGCTTCGTTGAGGAATTTCTTGTAGTATTCGCGCTTCACTGCAGAGACCATGAGCACGCCCTTTCCGATGTCATCTTCACCAGGCCGACACGCTCGACCAAACATTTGTAGGATCTCGCTGATCTGATAATCGACGTAGCGGTGTTCGCGACCCACAAAGTACTGTGTGCCCATAATTATGACGAGATGCGCTGTGAAGGGGATCTCCCAACATACATCGCGAGAAGCAAGCATGAGTTGGATAGCACCAATCTTGAACAGATGGGAGACGATCCTCTTGTCGCTAGTCGATAGCGCCTCATGATAGTAGCCAATGCCATGTGTAAGAGACTCCGCCAACGCTCGTTCGTTGATACGCTCCAGGAATGGCGCAAGCTCATTAACGTCGGTGTGCAAGAATCTTTCATCATTATCATCCATTATGCACGCTGAAAGGATATCAAGAGCTGTAGCCCGAACCTGCTTCCTGCCTGGAACGAAGATGATCGCTGGCTTGTCTGGCGACAGCTGCACGATAGATTGGTATGCTGGACGGGCCATCGCCATCATCAAAGACGGAAAATGAGGGATGCTGAAAGACTGGATATGCAATTGCAATCCAACCGGTCTTGTCATAGGGCTGAAGTTATAAATTGTGTGTTTGTTGGCACCGAGCCATTCACCCACGTCTCGGGCATTAGAAAGCGGTACGCTCAACCCAACGATCCGCATGCTGTTTTCCAGTTGAATGTGGATGTATTGCATTCTGGAAACAACAACTTCATAGACAGCGCCGTCCTCGCCACCAATCATATGAAGTTCGTCAGCAATGAACAACTCGACGTTCTGCACGTTCTTTCGGCGCTGCCACTGTCTCGAAAGCACGTCCCATTGAGCGGGAGTTGCCAATACGAGGTCTGATCTGTCCAAGATTCGTAGATCAGCTGTGATTTCGCCAGTTAATGTTGAGATGACTTTTCCACCACCGACTGGGCTCAATCGTTCGCTCCAGTCAGAGTAGCGGCCGTCGACCAATTCTTGGAAGGGAGCAACATAGACTGCTTTACCGGCGTCCTGGTTCTTCCAATGTCGAAGAAGAGCAAATTCCGCGCATACTGTCTTTCCGCTCCCCGTTGGTGCCCCTACGAAGACACTGTCATTGCTGTCGTAGAGAGACTTAAAAACTTGAGTCTGAATCTTGTTGAATGTGTCCCACTTGGGGTAGAGGGCAACGTAACCTGTGACCTTTAAAGCCTGGACGGGCACAGGTTGCAGGTCTAGAAGTGGAGTATGAGGAGGGAATCTTTCAGGCAGGATCAACTTTTGGAACGAAACCGGAACTCTGGTCTCAGAGTGCATCCATCGATCCGATATCAGCGAAATGAAATAGTTGGGTGGAATTGGCTCGCCGATGGGAACAGTGAAGTCAACCAAGTGTTCTGACATGTCGCCCTCTGCGTACTCTCGACGCAATATGAATAGGTCGTGGAACAAAATTTCCTCTCCATCACAATCTTCGACAATGATCCAGAATGACTCAGCGGTGCCGTGCAGCACTTCATCCCACGCAAAGTTGGGGGTGATCGTTAACTCAACGCGAAGTAATGATCTGGTGATCGGCTGGACTTGTGCTTGGACCTCTAATCGTGGAAACTTGGAAACAAGGTCGCACACAACTCGGCCAGCTTTGGGAAGACCAAGCAGCTCTCCCATTCGAGGTGGATCAAGGTCAAAGTAGCTGGACCAGGGCACTTCCATTCGCTCAGCTTTCTGAATGTATTCTCTCGGACACATTGCAAACTGCCTCAATGGAGTCATTGTAGGCCACATTCGCTTTTCGGCCATTTTACAGAGGTCCAAGGCAGTCTTTGCCACCCCGGCCCAGCCCTTTTTCAAGCATATTTCGAACATCGCCCTGAGGATTCGTCCTGCGGACTGTGTGACATAAACAAGATCAGCCATCAAAGCCAGGCCCTCCAACTTGAGTCGAGAAATAAATGCTTGCAGAAGCACATTGATTTTGGCTTGGGGCTCATCCATGCCTTCCTTGACAGGAATCGGCACTCTGCCGAGTAACTTCGCCAACTCGAGCTTCTCGTCCTGTCGAACGGGAATGTACTTGAACTCATCGCTGAGAGCAAAGATTCGGAAGAGTTCAATTGTGCCGATCGACGGTTGCAGGTGATGATTGTAGGTTAGCATCGAATTATGTGTTATGTAGTAATGTGAAGCAATACGGCCAAGATCTGTAGCTTGCAACTTTCCAGTCTTCCTCTCGTATTTGACAAGTCCGGCTTTTTCGAGAACGATAGCGGCGGAATGGACGAGATCAACTCGCTTCTGCTCCAACGCTTCATCATCGCTATAGTCTGCACCCACGCTGTAGAGACCTGGTGAGCGTATCATTCGAACGAATAGATAAGTATAACCAAGCCACTCAACACCCTCGTCGCGGGTGCGGACATTCCCGAGGACAATTTCAGCATTGAGGTTGTCGGCAAGTTTGCCCATCAACTGACTTTCAATGGGTAATTGCTGGTTCATCAACGAAAGGTAGTACTGAATCTCTGCTTGGGAAGTGATGATGATACCTTCACCATATGAGTCAAACTGTGGACGACCCGCTCGACCGAGCATCTGAAGTACATCTTGTGGGCTCAATTCGACCCAGCTTCCTTTTTCGGGGGAATAAACTTGGGTACCTTTGATCACGACCGTATGAGCGGGCAAGTTGACACCCCAAGCAAGGGTCGCAGTGCAGACGAGGACTCTAAGATAGCCATCGGCGAATAGGTCTTGCACTGATGTCCGATCGGCAACGCCCATTCCGGCATGGTGGATTCCAAATCCATAAGGCAGCAAGTCTTTCAGGTTGGCGTCATTGACCGCATCAGCTTCTTCTTGCAAGACCGACCTGCTTGCCGCGTCAGTCCGCATAATTTGGCCAATCGTTTCTAGCTCAATGGCCTTGTCACGGATATATTTGGCAGTTTTGGCCGTTTCTTTTCGAGAATGGACAAATATTAACATTTGCTGCTGATTTGTTCCTGCGTGTTCGATGGCTTTTGCATAGCAGATATCGTTCATCGTCTTTAGTTGCTTGATAGCTTTCTTGTCGGTCACGCCAATGAATTCCTGCCGAAGAGGGCAGGGTCTAAAGGATCCATCGAAGTGGAATAGACCCTTCTGGGGGTCTACCCGCAGAAAAGTGGCGACGTCTCGGTAGTTGGGAAGTGTTGCACTCAAGCCTACAATCCGCACAGGCTCGCCAGTCTGTTCGATCTTTCGTATAGTCCGGCTGACAATACTTTCGATCACGGGTCCACGGTCGTCGTGCAGCAGATGGATTTCATCAATCACGATAAGTCGTACCAGTCTGGTGTAGCTTTGATCAGTTGCTTTTCGTGTTATGACGTCCCATTTTTCCGGAGTCGTTACAATGACCTGAGTGTCCGCAATCTGTTGCTTGGTGAGCTGACGATCTCCCGTGAGCTCGGAGACCCTAATCCCGTATACTTCGAGTCGCTTGCCAAAATTGCCCACTTGTTCCTGCACTAAAGCCTTCAAAGGTGCAATGTAGATAATCTTAAAGTCGTCCAGCATGATTTCGCCAGTTTCTGGATTTCTATGTTTCCCGATTTCACGCAACATCGTAAGCATCGCGACATTTGTCTTGCCAGATCCAGTTGGAGCGCAAATTAGCATATTACCATCGTCGTGGAAAGCAGAGGGGAAGCATTTCGACTGAATCCGGTTTAGCTCCTTCGCAGACCCAAAACCTTGCCTTGCCCAATCAGGAAGTTCAGTAGTGGGAATGTTCTTCTCGCCAGGATCTCGCTTGGGTTTGGGTGGCGGAACATGAATTTCCTCGTAGCCCTTGAATGTTCGCTTCGTGGAGCCCTGCGGCAGAATAACCTTTGGATTGGTCATCAGATGATTTCCCTGTTCAAAGACAAGGTTGTCGAGGTTGATAACCCGCTGTGGCAGCAAGCCTCCAGAAAGAACACCGTCGTATTTCTTTCCCTGCTCTTCTTGTGCTTTGGGGATATCGATGTCCATCAGGTCCAGTTTCATCTTCTTGGCCGGTCGTGGCGTTTCCCCAGGCCGGCCCGACTTGCCAAGCAGTTCGTCCAGAATGGCCCGGTGGCCGGCCTCAACCATTCCGCTCTCCACAAGATGTCGAGCGTCCTCGTCCTCTGAAGCTCTACGCCACCTAGTCACCCAAACGATCTTGTCTCTGTTGGAAACCAGCCTCCCGACCATATCGGGATGTTCGTAGTCAAACAAATCCATGAGGTCATTTTCGATATCGCGAAGGGATATTTCTTCGCCTTGGAGAGACTTGCCGGAGAGGATTTGAAGTGCATCTTGCGTCTTTTGCTGCTGAATAACGGCATCAGAATACACGGAACCAATTTGCCGTTGGAGCCAATAAGCATCAATTTCGTCGATGGGAATAGAGTCGGTATCGTCTCGCTTTCTGCGACTCGATTCGCCCAGACCGCTGACTATGACCATCGGGGCGTCTTCGTCTTCATCTACGTCGACATCGGCAGTGGCTGCACCACCAGCTGATGCAGACTCTTCAAGACCTGGTTGGTCCTGAATGTCCTCCTCTTCGTCAGTGTCCCCTTCATCCTCGTCTCGAACTTCGTATGTCCGCCCGATGCCATCTTCGTCTACGTCTTCATCTTCATCAAAGACCACTGCGACGCCCTGGCGTTCATCAAGCTCGGCCTCATCTGCGCCCGCGCCGTCTGCCATGTTATCGTCGTCGTCTTGCGCATCATAATCTGTGATCTTTTTGCCCAGATTGACCAGTTCGTTGAACTGCTTCGGGGTCATTGTAATTCCCACGATCTCATCGATCTCTTTCTTTTTGTCAAGGTCTTTCATGTTTTCATCTTTCAGATATTCGAGGATGGCATCGGCAGCGCTTCGAACGATTTCCTGCGAGACATCTCCAAGAGCGTTTGCGGTCACGGTGAGTAGCAGATCGTAAGTCGCCCGAGTGGCGGGAGTCCTAGGACGATACTTGAGCCCTTCTATCAGTGCATCGCCAGCGGAGAGGACGCCGGCACCTCGAGGTTGGGCAGGCTCACCCCTCTTTCGTTTCCGCTGTTCCCGTTCTAAGACATCTTCTCCCTCAAGTATGGAGCCTCTTTCGACACCTTGTAAGCCTGGCGCAATCTTTTTTTGCTTTGGCACTCGATCTCGAGCGACCCGCGATCCCATATCACGGATATTTAGTCTTCCAGCCAGAGACTCAGGGTCGCCGGTATTCTCATCTGTACGGCGGGAAATGAATCGACGGTCCACCTGAAGAACCAGGTTCGACATCGCCGAGTATTTGTATTGCGACACATTGTTGGGGTCTGCCATTTTGACGGCAGGAGGATCACAACCTTATGGATCGATTGAGGGGTTGCGACGGATGCGAAGCAGGATCAGATGCTGGACAGGTATGAGGACGAATTCGTCCAAGTTTTTACTGGAGAAAAGCGAATATCTCGGTGGCCATAAGCAGAATCAAGCAGTTCTGCACTGTTCCACTGTCATTTAGAAAACGCAGCCTGGCGGCAAATAGGTCTGGTATATGATGGCGACTGTAACTCAAAAAAGTTTCCTTGCCTCTCACCTGGTCTCCAATCTTGGCACTTCTCTCGGCAAACCTTCCATATCACTTCCATCTCAAAAACAGCTCCGAAAGGCTACAACCCCTTGAACCCCTGAAGCTGGCTGAGTTGTCCTCCCTATCAGTCGCTGAACACATTCCTCTCGCTTCTCTTGGGCACAACAGACCGTCGCTACCAACAACTTAGGCATCACCTAGGCCCAAACCCACTGACCATGAACCCTGTCTAGGCCTTCCGGTTAATGCTCTCAGGATTTCTTGCCGAGTTCAACATTTAGGTTTCGATCTCAAAAAGGCTGCAAAAGCGTCTCCACAACATTTGAAGATTCCGATAGTCTCATTCACAGTTCTCGATCTTGATCAGCCGTGCCCTGACTCCCCTAAATGTACTTTCTGGCGTATGCATTACGCTTTTCTAGTTTTTCTAAGCTCTTTCCCAGTTCCGAACGACCTAGAATAGTACCAGGTTAACGAGCTGCAACGCGCAAAGACACCTCCGCAGAATACGAAGTCCTTGAAGATCATCAGTTTAAGTATTATTCTGCGGAGACCTGGGTTCTTGCCATGTATCTGCAGAGCCATCCAAATCCAAATACTGCTGTTTCCATAATTCAAGTCGTCATTTTATGACCGCAAGACTACGACTACAGATCTTATGATGAAGAGTCGGGATTGCTCTATACTTTGGCGTATACCAAAGCCGCAATCCAAACCGCAATGGAGATGGTGGGCAGCGAACGCTGCCGAGAATATGCGCATCGTGGCGGCGGGAGAACTTCGTGGTCGGCAGGAGCAGTGGTACTATGGGTCCTTGTGTGAGCTGCATTTCTTGCGGAACAGGGTGGTCATTCGTCGAGAAGCTTTTCGGCGCTTGTGCTCATCTAAGAGCGCTGGCAGGAATGTGAAAGACGGGTGGAAATAGGGCGAGCTATATGAAATCTTTCCAGTATTGCGGGCCTTGGGCAGTCTTGTTTCTTGAGAACAAGCTGAAATGGTCAGAACAACGACTCTGCCACCACGTATTGGCGCTATTGTCGGATTCGCTTTTGAACTTTGAGTTGGGTAAGCCAACATACGATGCTAATGGAGATGCAAGCTAAGCGAAGTTGTGTGAGCCACCCTTTGCGTGCGATACTAGTACCTTGCATCTGTTATAACCTCCTTTCAGCCCTTCCGGCTGGCTAAAATGCTTTTTATTCTTGTTTACATGTCCATCTTCCGATATCAAATGGTTTCTTCGAACGTGGCGTCTGTCGTTTGATCTCATCTGCGTGTACTTCAGCTACCCAGGGCTGGAGCCAGAGTCGACTGAGCCTTGTTGACATCGTAGTTCCAGGTCCAAAATCAACTACCAGCTTTGGAGATTCCAGGCCACCCTCAATACAGGTACTAGTTTCCATTAAGAAAGCGAGGGGCGTCTCTCATTCGTGCCTTCATTTTGGGGATGGCTTTGACATGTTAGTACATAGCTGTTTCTTACGGCGGTCAACCGGCACTAGCCAGTGAGGCTGAATCGTACCCCGGGAAATTCTTGTCCAATTTTAACCGTGTTCATTTTCCAGGTAGGCAGGTAACTCCAAGAACATGGCAGAAGATACGAGATACATTGCCACTTTGTCTCGGGACATGTATATTGCTACCCAAAAGATTTCAATCGCCAGTTGTTAATCTTCAACAGGGATGTGTACCCCGAACCTCCAGGTAAAGCATCGGGTGTGCCTCAAATTGGTGGATTACTCGTGCTCCGATCCTACAACGGGACCTGGCCCGCGCGATCATACCCACTTCTCTCGCTGTTCTTTTCCTTTAACTCAGGGCATATTACTCGTGGACAGCCGTGAATGTATGACTAGGATGTCCAGAAATCCCAATTGCGGTGTCCAGCAGTGAGCTTTGATGTGTATGGGTTGCAGGTTATATTTATGATAGACTAGCAGAGTGCTATGTGTCTCTAACTGGGTAAGGCCCTCAAACTAAAGTGTCGTCTCACGGTCGGACGCCGAAAACAAGAGCAAGAACGATTCAAATGGGGCAGCAAGGCCAACAGGGAGCAGCAGGGCTGGAAATCCTCGCCGCCTCGCTGTGTGTTGCTACGATTCACCCAAGAGAACAGTGAGCCAATTCTACTGTGGATCATGTCTTGCAGCCGCGCGGATCATACCACCACGAATGCAGCCTCCAATGTATACACTCTCAACTACCTATATCCCCGTACTTTTTTAAGTGAAATGCGACACGCCGAAGAACGTATGCATACCAGAGCCTTTTTCAGCCTACCTTCCTAATCATCTGGCCGACTCCCTGTCCAAGAAGCGTGGCCCTCCTCGACATTTTATCATCGCTGTCCTTCGAATCTGTCTTACTCCTACCTCCTCCTGACTGACGGACGGCTTACGCCCGTTTCGCTCCTCAACCGCCCGCGATGGCGAACACAATCCTAGATATATTCTATTCTTTATCCAGCTGTATATGCTGTTTTCCGAGTACTCCGCAGTTAAAGATCAACAACAGAAGCTTCCGCATGCTTCGACTGCTAGGCGAGGTAAGATTCCTGAAGAACGTGGATGTACCAGGCTCCCACAGTCCTGACACCATCTTTTCTCTGTATAGGGCGGCTTCTCATATGTCTACCTCGTTCAAGACACCTCCGATTCCGCTCTGTATGCACTCAAGAAGATCCGCTGTCCCTTCGGCCAAGAATCGGTGTCCCAAGCCCTGAAGGAAGTCGAAGCATATACTCTGTTCGCGCCGCACCCTAACATAATCCACGCTGTCGACCACGCCGTGCAAACAGATTCGACCACGAAAGTCTCTGGGATTGGGACAGATACGGCGAACGGGGCTAGTAAAACCGTCTACATCCTCTTACCCTATTACCGGAGGGGTAATCTGCAAGATATGATCAACGCGAACTTAGTAAACCACACCCGCTTCGGTGAGAGACGGCTCATGCAATTGATGCTCGGAGTCTGCAAAGCACTGAAAGCCATGCACCAATACCGCGTGCGGAATATGCCATCACGGTCCGCCGCACAATCCATCCGCGACGAAGCCGCAAGTGAAGATGCCGACGCCGCAAAACGGAAAGCTCGCGCTACCAAAAGAACAACAACGGCGTCACAGGAAAACCAAGAAGATTTGGCGGAAGAGCAGGAAGAACCGCTCATGCCCTCCGATGAAGTCACCCGCGCACAAGAAGGCAAGCATCCCGGCGACACGCGGGCCTATGCACACCGAGACATCAAACCCGGTAACATCATGATCGATGATGACGGCCGTACCCCGATCCTGATGGATCTGGGATCCCTTGCACCAAGTCCAACACCTATAACTTCCCGCTCCCTCGCCATCGCCGTGCAAGACACGGCGGCCGAACACAGTACCATGCCTTACCGCGCCCCCGAGCTCTTCGACGTAAAAACCGGCTCTGTCATCGACACGAAAGTCGACATCTGGAGTCTCGGGTGCACGATGTATGCTTGTCTCGTTGGGAAATCGCCTTTTGAAGCCAGAAGCGACGAGACTGGTGGTAGTCTCAGCATTTGCGTGTTGGGTGGAGACTGGAGATGGCCTGATGAGGGAAACGTCTCAAAGGGCAAGAACAAAGTCGGATCAACGCCTTCGCGTTCAAATACAGCGATGTCGCAGGAGGGTGCCACGGCGGCGAATGGAGACACAAATAAATCCCCCAATGCGACCACGGCAGCTTCTGGTGGGAAAATATACCCGCACCCAGCCGCTAGGGAAGTCGTCAGGAGGTGTCTGCAAGTTGAACCGGCGGAGCGGCCGGACGTGGACGAATTGATGACCTTGATTGATACGTGTCTCAGCGAGTTGCCTGAAGATGATGAAACGGGAGGCTCGGAGGGCGATGGCGATTTGTGAGGAATTTGTTGATACATACTATTTAGCTCCTTTTCCACGCGCTCCCATGTGCTTGATTGATGCACAATACTTCTTTCACTTCTACATATTCAAAAGTTCTTACCCAGTCCTGGAACTGAGAAGTGTGTCTGTATATCGGTTGTCTGTCTGTGTTGTCTGCGGGAGGAATGCGATTTAACTGCGTTGTATCTTCTGGACTTCTCGAGTTCGGCCTTGACTGATTTTTGAGAGATGGGGATTCCGGACCATTCATGAGTTCTAGATATCTGATGTCATAACCATATATAGATGTATGTATTATCAGCTTCAGCTTGAGCCTCTGAGGATATTAGAGATCAAGTGACCTTACACTCTGTACCTCATGGCCCGACCCGTCACGATAGAAAGAACCATAGTACTCCGTAACTTGTAGCAGAATTGCTGCTCTTTTGTATCGTCGACATGAATTCATTGTAATATATCGCATTTTCTTCTCGTGCCCTAGCTACATTGGTGGTACCTCTCAGCGCGCTGCCCTTCTTTCCTAAATAATCTGACTGAATACAAGAAGAATGAAGAAGTCAACGAGGCGAAGAGCCACGACCGTGTTGCTGAGCGCCAATTCGTCTCCTCCCAAAGACCTTCGGGGACATGAAGCGTGAGAATGTGCGTGAAGATTCCATTTCGATCATTGCCGACCCAGCTCGCCCTGTCTCGTACGAATGTTGAGGACATCTCTAGGTCCTCCACACACACTGAGCATTTCTCAGTATCTGACCCGCGAGGATGCATCGGGAGTGACGACAGACAATCCCTACCAGACTCCCATGGACGCCTAAAATCATCGCAGATGACGCGTCAATGATCCCTCATCCTCCAAGACCGTTGCATTACTTGGTCTCGTGTTTATTCGGTGGTCTTGACCACGTCTGCAGCCTCCGTAGCAGCCGCTGCTGATTCTGGTGCTTTCTCCGTGGTTTCAGGCGCCGCCGCTTCAGGCTTCGCTGGCTCTTCCACCACAGCCTTTTCGGGTTCAGCGTTCTCTTCAGGTTTCTCTGCCTCGGGCTCTGCCGTCGACTTCTCAGCAGCCTCAGTAGCCAGCGCAGGCTTTTCAGGAGGGGCAGAAGCCTCTTCCTTCTTCTCTTCTTCGGGGGCTTCTTCGGATTTCTCATCATGAACTCCGTTTGTGGCAGTGTCTTTGTCACCAGCAGTGTCATCAGCCGGTTCCGCTCCGAGAATCTTGTTCCACTGGCTCAAAAGCTCAACGGAGCGCTTTCGGAACTGAAATTCTTCGTCTCTGGGAATGGTGTTGAGCTTGATCAAGGCTTTCAAGACCTTGTTGATCTTGGTGGTTCGAATGATGCTAACTTCCAGATCCGCATAGCCTTCGAGCTTTTTAATGTATGTAGCCATCTGCGGCATCTCATCTTCCTGAGGAGCTTGATCTCTGGACAAGAACCCCTTTTGTAGCTTGTGGCGGAGAAAGAGGACTGGACTAGGTTAGCTGATATCGGAAGGTCTGAGGAGCTGAATTCCCACCTTCTTTCTCACGAGACTTGCGTGCCTCGACTGGGTCAAGCGGCTTCTCTTCTGGCTCCGGCTCGACTGCGTCTACCATTTCCTCATCTTCCTGGGCGGCGCGGGACTTTCTCTTCTCCGATCGAGCCTTAGTTGCCTTCTCCTTGGGCTTCTTCTCCTCAGTCTTGGGTGTCTTGTTGGTGGTCAATTTGATCTTGGTGGTCTTGGGGGTTTTTGCAGGCTACACCGAGTTAGAACCCACCGCAGGGGTTTTTCAGGACTCCTGCTACTCACCTTCTGATCTTCATCTTCTTCTTCGTCGGCCTCCTTCTTACGCTTCTTGGAAGATTTCTTGGGCTCAGCATCGGCCTCAGCCTCTTCCATCTCAACGTCCTCCGGTTCGGCTTTGGCTTCGCTCTTACGTTTCTTCTTCTCAGCTTTGGCAACCTTTTCAGCTTCTCGGGCCTCTTTCGCGTCGATCTCGGCTTGCAAAGCCGCTGCGTGTTCGTCAAGCATGTTCTTGAAGTATTGTAGGTCGTGGCCTTCGGCAGCGACTTTGTATGCGCCGAGGAGGGCCTTGCCTTTGCCTTTTTCTGGAACATCATTGCACTCTTCAGGTGTCAACGGAGTCAGGTCGGTGTTGTGGATCCACACGCTTTTGGCTATCAGCTGAAAACGCGACTAAGGGACAGGTGGCTGGGACTTACAATTCATTTGTGCCCAGGAACATGATAGGGAACGTTCGTTCGTGCATTTTCTTACCGCCGTCTGCGTAAGCTTCGTTGTAGGTGCCGTCGGCCTTTTTGGTGGTGACGGGCCTGTTGTTGATCATAACATCAGGAAGCATGTCTTCATCTGCAATGATTGATGGCCAGGGTGGATAGCCTTTGAGCCTGGCGAGATAGTAATCGCCCGGTTCGGCATCGAGATGAGTGATTTTGGACATGGACTTCTTCTTGTTGAGCTTCTTGCCTTTGTTTTCCAGGGCGGTTGACGACTTCCTCCTCGAAGAGGATGACTTCTTTTCGGCAGAGGCTGCGCCGTTGATCTCCGGCTGAGCAGTCTCTGCCTCACCCGCGTCTTTCACCTCGGTGTCCTCAGCAGCCGGGGCCGTGGGCTCAGAGTCAGCCGAGGGTTCTTGGGGTTCTTGGGGCTCTTTTGGAGGTTCTGATGCGGGCTCGACCGGGCCATTTGCGGTAACAGCATCTATGAGTCAAGATTAGCATGTTTTCCGAACTATGAATGCATCAAGGGTACCTGTGCTTTGAGCTGGTTCAGTCTCAGCAGGTTGCTCGGCCGGAAGAGCCCCCGACATCTCCGCAACAGTCTCGGAGGCAGGTTCAGCTGATGACGGAGGAGCTCCGTCGGCGGGTTGTGGCACCTTGACGGGGGCCTCTGTCACGGGAGCCGACTCCTCAGACGCCATGCTGGAACGAGGCGGGTGAAGGAGGAGGGTTGATGGAGAGATTGACGCGTTGACGGCGCGCACAGGAGAGAGAGTTGATGAGTCTGTCCGACAGAGATATCAGTAATGATATACATGGAAAGACGCTGGCCAGCGCCGGATCGGTATGCCTTGTGGAATCAACGGCGCAGATCGGTGGTGCGCAGTTGGTGCGAGGGACGCGACAACAGAAGCAGCTCATGCAAAACCCGTATTGAACAAGACCGGCCACCCGGCAACAGCAAACAAGGGGGAGAACCACAGACCAAGCGACTCTGAATGGGTTGCGGATTGATGATGATGACGATGATATCGATGCGACAAAGGGTGGGATGGTAGAATGCAAGTGGTCGCGATGGGATGGGAAGTGAGGACTGCGACTGCGACAATGATGGAGAGGGAATTGAGATGCCCTAAAGCATGAAGAGAGAAAAGCCACTGCGACTGCCTGACAGCCAATCACCGCACTGCTTGTTGCCAAGGCTCTTTGGGGGGAGCTTCCGCCAGCTGCGCTCGTTGCCCTTGCGAAAATGAACTCGGCCGGCAATCGCCAGTCTCTTTGCACTGTCTTGCAGCGTCATGCAGCGTCCTCAGGCCGCCGGACAAGCCACCCCATCTATCTTCTTCCTCTTTGTGTTCTCGAGACATAGAAAATGACACTCACCTGGATCCTTCGCAAGCAGGATCTGCAGTTTTAGTTGCTGATATTGGGAGGTCAAGCACCAATGGAATGCGGCGGAGAAAGAGACAGACTGATTAGGACCACCTCCACAACGATGATTGATGTCAGAAGTGCGACGTACTCCGTCCTTGGGCCAGTACTGGTGTTGTTGTTGCCGCGACTTGAATCAAAACCAGAACCAGAAAATGGCAATCAGGTGCCCCTGTTCGTCCACTTCGTCGAGGCAAAAGAAAAATGGCTGGGGCAAGCTGGGGGATAAAGGACCTGACCCGCGGGTGACTTGAGCCGAAGCTTGAGATTAGAGATCGATATCAGCCCAGCGCGAAAGGGGAAGGTATCCCTTGGTCACTCTCACGGCCGCCCCTTGTTCACCAGGTCATTGTGTGGATGTATCTTGATTCCTTATTGACTCTTTCAGTTCCAGGAACGGTGATATATGGTTCATTGGGCAGCTTCCAGAGTTGAGGCACCGAGGACGGACTGCAATGTCGGCCAGAAACGCGGCACCAGTGGCCGATGGCTGCTCCGGCGAGGCACGAAACCGATTGCAAAGTGTACGGTGGAGCATGTGACTTGCTACCTCACTGCCCGAAACAGAACGCCGGGCTTGGCATGTTCAAAGAACTGGTTTTTCGCGTCTCATTTCCATGCATTTCAACTCTTTTCCTCTCCTCATGCTCTCGCTCCTGTGAGTCAACTGATCGCAAGAGTGAAGCACTGATGAGAGCCTGAAAGACTATCCATCTGTTTATCTGCCTTTTCCTTGCAGATCCTGTTGTCTGTCCTGAAGTGAGCATCACTCAACTCATGCCAGAATTCAGGAGTCGAACAAGCAGATCAGAGGTGCAATCGTTCTCTCATGAACATCTAAATGCTCCACACCGGTGAGTGACTGCTGCAAAAATCCTCCAAAATATCCGCTGAGTTGGTGTGGTTCTTCCTGCCAAAGCGGCTAAGTTGAGTCTCGCTTTTGAGGCTCTCCCAAATGCTTCGGCTTTGCACGAGACAATCGCCCTTGAAATGGAACCAGACCGCTTTGTCCGTCCTGTAGACACGATATCTGCTCATATATATCGTTGCGGCTAGAACAAGCCATCTGATCAGTCAGCCTCTTCAAGCTCCAGTTCACCCTCCACATTGGCTAGGACAATCACAGAGGATGAATTGACTTGTCTGATAGGCAACCTCGATTGCCTGGTTGTTCTCCGTCCTTTGCTACAAGATCTCCGTCAGTAGCTCCGACTGCTCCAATTCCTGAATGTCGTTCTTCAAAGTCCACTGTGCTTCTTACTCTTCCGCCGATTGAGCCAAGGTTTCTCTAGGAGCCGGTGTCAGTATCACTCACTAAGGAAGTAGACCAAAATAAGGCGTGCACATACGGGATAAAGAAACCAGGAACAGTTAGTAGACTATCAGATATATCCTCTTGGAGCCGGGTTGGGATTTATTATCGAAGGACACAAATGTGGTCATGGACTGTTGTTAAACATTACCAAGGTATATACTCCGTATATCTCTTTCTTCCCTTGATGCTCGTGCCCTCTCATATCTAATTAGGAGATATAGGTGGTACGTGTGTACTCACGGTAGATAACGAGAGGCCTTGACAATCCATACCTCCATCTCTGTCTTCCGACATCTGATGAAGAAGGCCCCGTCGGAAATCTCGCCCCATTTCGCTTCGTGCCTGATCAATCCATCCATCCATCATCAACGCGCTGCTTCAATTCTTCAAATGTAGTATGTAGATCCAGAACGGGGAGCGGGGACCAGTTGTTGCCCTTCGTCCTTAGATCGCCTCATCGTTCCGCTCGTTGGTTGAACAAAAAGTATCTATAGGCATACCGATCCAACCCACTCTTCGTGTTTATCATTAATCTATACAGGTCAATAATCCGTATATCGTAGTCATGCAAGGCGAAAGCCAGCTCCACGACTGGTCATAAAAGCTCACTCCTGTCGGCGACTTGAGTAGGTGGGTTAGTCAGTTTGTTGTGCTCCGCGTCCCTGAATACAGCGACATCCCGGCAGATTGGCAGGCATCGCATTGTCTGGCGTCTCCAAGAGCGCGCACCAGGCCTTTGGGTTTCCTTCAGGAGAGAAGTCCTTGATGTCAATGTTCTGGCCGATTAATCCCCACCGATCCATCGTACTGGCATGTCGGATGGAATCCAGAGCAGGCTCGGTAGGTCTCATATCACTTCGGCCAGTCAATGCTGCAACATATCCGACCCATTTCGGGCGAAACGAACTCGGCATCAAGCAGTATTCACCACCACAGGCGTCTTCTCCGGCTCCCAGCCCTCCTTCTCTTTAATCCCCAAACCCGATGCTTTGACTGCTCTCCCGGATTGCAGCGGCACTTGAACAGGCTTGTGAATCCTCAAGCACCAGAGGAACCAATCCTCAACCACAAGCAGATTCAAGAGTACGTCATTGAATTTCCAGCCCAGACAGCAGACAATTGATCCTGCAACTGCGTCGAGGATGAAATGGTTCGCTGTCGCGACAATGGCAGTGAGAATGGCGAAAGGGTACAGGAAGCCGACCGCTAGGCAGAGCATGCGCCGCGTGCTGGGGAGCCGGATGTGAGGGGAGAGGTTAGGGTGCGAGTTGTTGAAGAAGGGAAGATAGATGACTTTCCAGGGTTGTGAGTGCTGGGGAGCGAGCGGGATGGTCATTATGGTGACGCCAATCAGGAGCGAGTAGCCAAAGTGCAGAGAGGGCATTGCCGCTGTTTGGGATGGATCTGTTAGTATCCAAGCTTTCGTCTGGCTGGCCATTGTGTTTCTGGATGATCTCGAGTGCAAAAAGGGGGAACCTGACTCACCGTATTGATTGCAAAATCGATTCTGCGTCCACACCGAACTTGCGCCTTCTTTGCCATGCACAGTATCAACAAATCCAAAGCTCTTAGCGACTTCGGCCTGAGGCCCATCATACTCTGGGTCACTCAGCAATCGAGGCGGCATGCACGGCCAGAGCGTGAAAACGACGAACGCAAGTAGATTGCAAACCGCCATTGTTCGTCTGCGCGCCTCGTAGAGCCACGGTCCTGAAGGTGATCCTGCTGGTCCGACGTCGTTCCCCTTTTCGCCTGACTGAACAGCTGCACGGCGTTGAATAAGGCGATTCCTTGTGATTGTATAGAAGTACAACCACACCAAGAAAGCGATAGTGCCCGGGATGTGAATAAAGCTGTACAGCCAGTTGATACCCATCATCAAGCTTGGGTAGGACATGAAGAACTTCTGGATGGGGAGTTCCCAGAAGATATGAAGTTGCTTTTCGAGTTCAATCAGTTGCAATGCATGTCGCCGCGCAACGTGGACCGTGCCTTCGACCAAGGTAACGGCAGTAAATGCGCGGCCGAGCTGGTAGACCTATCGTCCGCGAATGTGTCAGAAGTGAAGTTTCCACGACGGGAGCCCAGCCTGCTCCTCTAGGGTTTTTCTACTGACCCAATATATCAAAGCCCAATACCAGGCCTCCACCAAGAACGGGAATTTGTGCAATATTCTGCTCAGCAGTCTATGCCTGAACACTGCTGTATTCGGTGTCTGAATTACTCTTCGATATCCCAACACAGGTATCTTCAGCTCCCTCTCCCGCCACTTGTCCTCTTGACTTGGTAGCAATGATGGGCTTAGAGATCTCTTGGATCGTGAGATATGGAGATTTTCAATATCCACGTCGTCGTCGCAGTCGACAGAGCGGGCGAGGGGAAGGTCAAGAACACCGGTGTCATCTTCCTCGAACGAGAGGGAGAGGGGGCTCCGCGACGACGACAAGGAATCTGGCGCACGGTTGATCCAGGCTCCGCCAAAGAGGAGGACGATCACGGCCAGAGGTTCGAGGTATGCGCCTGCGCCCATTGCGAGGGGCTGTCCTTGTCACTCTGCTTGTTTCTGCCTCGACCGTTCCTCTATTGCTGGATCTGGTCAATCCCAGGGACTGCGTATTATTCAGTTTGATCTGCGTCTCGGGTCACAGAGCCAATCCAGAGGGAAAGGGTCAGTCAAGCTATGTGGGAAGAAAGCAGGAAAAGTCTCACACCACCAGGAGTGAGGCGGCACGAAAGCAAATATGTATGGACATAGGCCAGAACAGGCACTGCGCGGACAGACCGGGTATCAGACCAGAGAACAAGGCAGCAGGAGGTACCTGTCAGCCACCGCCTTGCGCTCTGGGAAAGGAAATAGCTCTCATTGCCCATCGCTATCGTATGAGTAAGGTAAGGCCCATTCCGGGTACCACCGAGGCTCTAGGGATCAGAGTTTCAAGCAGCCATTTAGTGAAC